ATAAAAAATTGACTGGGAGGTGGAACATTTATTAATTATAATTTAATTAACGTTATGAATTAATTAACACAAACACATCAAGGTATGTAATGAACTGCACATGCAGGATGTGGAGCTTCCGAATGCCAGTGTGATTCAGAGCAAACAAGAACGTTGGCTCAGAGTCAATGGACTAGAGGCCAAGCTACAGGTGCTGTGGTATATCAGGAAGGGGGAGAGTTGTTTGGACACTTAATTCCAGAAAGAGATCTCACCCTTTAATCTAGGGCCATCTGATTTGGCCAGTGCTCAGGAACGGCAGGGTGTGTGACTGCAAGTAAAGCAGGAGTACAGGAGTTTCAGCTTTTGCAATTGTTCAACAGGTTTGAAGTTGTTTCAGCTTGCAGTGAGTGCTTCAGGATGAATGAGTTAACTGATCATGACAGCATGGTTCAGGAAGCCATTCAAGCAGAGTTACTAAAAGGAATGCAATAGTACTAGGGCGCGGAATAGTGAAGGGGACTGACCCTGTTCTCTGCAGCAAAGAGTGTTCATCCAGGTTGTTCTGTTGTCTGCCTAGTGCTGGTGTGTGGGATAACTGCTGTACGCTGGAAAAGAAATTGCAGAGGGAGTGGACCGATCCAGTGGTCATGTTGCAAGTAGGTACCAATGAAATGGGTAGAACTAGGAAAAAGGTCCTGCTGAGTGTTTATCAGTAGCCACGGTCTGGATTAGAAAGCAGAGCCTCTAACATAATCTCTGGGGTTATGACCTGAGCCACATGCAAATTAGCATAGGGCAAATAACATTAGAGAAATGAATGCATGTCTCAGACTGGTGTGGGAGAAGTGAGATCCAGTTCATAGGGCACTGGAACCAGCACTGGGGAGAGTGGGATCTGTACTGTTGTGATGATCTACACCTGAATGTTCTGGGACTGGTTTTGTGGCAATCTGTATAATTAGGAAAATAGAAAGGGCTTTAAACTAAACAAGGGGTGAGCGATCAAACTCAGATTGATGTTGCAAATAAAAAGGTAGTTGAGACAGGAGAGCAAAATAAAAATGTGGAAAATGAAGGTTAGAGAATTTCCGGAAGGGACATGGGGGAAAACACCTAGGAATACACCCAACTGTCAACTGTCAACAGTCAAGACTAGGTGTTACAAAGATAACAATATGGCAAAACGAAAGGCTCTGTATGTGAATGCACATAGCATTCATAACAATGTAAAAACATTGAAAAGCACATGCAGGAGTAATTGTGATCTGATCACCGTTGCAGACACGTGGCTGTAGATGAAGAAGATTATGTCCTGAATATTAGCAAGTGTATGGCATTCAAAAAGAACAGGAAGCTAGATAAAGGTGGAGTGGTTAACACTTGATCAACAATAGCATTAGTGCAACAGTTAGAGATGACTTTGGTTCAGGAGGTCAAATGTAGGATCGATTTGAGTGGAGATCGGGAATAGTGGAAAGAAGTTACTAGAGGACAGTAATCAACGCTATGTATCCCTAACAGTGATCACAATGTTGGGCAAAGTAAGCAAGAAGCAGTATTGTTTGTGATGAAGGGATGACAATTGCCAAGTGACTTTAATACCTAGAGCATTTAATTGCACAAAGGTGAATGGAAAGTCAGATGGTTATTCAGAATATAAAGAACAGAGACATATAAAGAATATAAAAAACAAGAACAAAGGTTAAATCATGTGGAAAAAATTAGAGTGAGAGGAACCTAGCTAGAAGTTTAAAATTGGATAAAAAGAGTTTTTACAGATAACTATAATTGTAAAGAGTAGAGAGTGAGAGTGGGGAGTTAATAGTAAGAATAAAGAAATACCGGATGAATTGAATGAATACTTTATTTATTTTGGGGTTATTTTTTAATATAATCTGTATATTTGAGGTGGGGGGAGGCAGAAGACAGGAAACTTTAGGCTATTTAGCGTGACATTTGTCATGGGGCAAATATTAAAATTATATTTAAGGAAATTATAGTTGAGCACTTCAGAAAAATTCAAGGTCAGGATTAGTCAGCATTGCTTTGAGAAAGGAAGATCCTATTTAACCATCTATTGGAGATCTTTGAAGGAGTAAAATGGACTGTCCTTGGATTTTCAAAAGGCATTTGACAAGATTTCCAATCAAAGGTTATTGTATGAAGTAAATGCACATAGAGTATTTGTGTGTATAGTAAATTGGCTGGCTGACAGAAAACAATATTTATTTTCTGTTCTATAAATGAGTCTTTTTTGAATTGACAGGATGTGACCAGTGATGTCCCATGTAGGTCTATGTTGCGACCTCAATGTGTCTCAATTTATATTAACATTATTTAGATAAATGTGAGGTATATTGCATTTTGGTAAGGGTGGGACTTAAACTCTTAATGGTAGGGCCGTCGGGATTGTTGCCAAACAGAGACCTACGGGTACGGATGCATAGTTCCTTGAAAGTGGAGTCACAGGCAGACGGGGTAGTGAAGAAGGCATTTGACACGCTTGCCTTCCTTGGTCAGTGCATTGTGTATAGGAGTTGGGACGTCACGTTGCAGCTATACAGGACGTTGGTGAAGCCACTTTTAGAATACTGCATTTAATTCTGGTCTCCCTGCTATAGGAAAGATGTTTTTAAACTTGAAAGGATTCAGAAAAGATTTATAAGGATGTTGTTGGGATTGGCATGTTTGAGCTATAGGGAGAGGCTAAATAGGCTGGGGCTTGTTTCCCTGGCACGTCAGAGGCTGTGGGGTGACCTTTATAAACTTTATAGTGGTTTATAAAACCATGAGGGGCATGGATAGCGTGAATAGCCAAGGTCTTTTTCTCAAGGTAGGGGAGCCAAAAACTAGAAGGCAGAAGCTGTTGTTTTAAGCACAAGGTATTGAGGGCTACAGAACCAAAGGTACAATTCACATGTGATTGTGTATTTTTGGATGGTTTTCATGGCAGTCAGGAATGTATGGTCTAATTAATTTCATAAAAATATACATAGAATTGAATAGCCAATGTCTTTTTCCAAGGTGAGGGAATTCAAAACTAGGGGGCAAAGGTTTAAAGTGAAAGAGGAAGAATTTAAAAGGGACCTGAGGAGCAACATTCTCACACAGAGGGTGATGCATGTATAGAACAAGTTACCAGAGGTGGTGGTGGAGGCGGATACAATTACAACATTTAAAAGACCTCTGGATGGGTAAATGAATAGGAGGCATTTAGAGGGATATGGGCCAAATCCTGGCAAATGGGACTAGATCAGTTTAGGATGTCTGGTTGGCACAAATGAGTTGGACTAAAGGGTCTGTTTCCATGCCGTATAACTCTGACTCACGTGAACGAACTGAAGGCATGATCGCTAAATATGCTAATGACTCAAACATACGTAGGAAAATATGTTGCCAGGAAGACCTAAGGAGGTTGCAGAGGAAATATAGGTGGGTTGAGTAAGTGAGCAAAAATTTGGTCAGTACTGTAAGATGTGGCACGGTGGACTCGGCGGTTAGCACTGCTGCCTCACAGGCTCCAGGAACCCGGGTTTGATTCCAGTCTTGGGTGACGATCTGTGTAGAATTTGCACATTTTCCCTGTGTCTGTGGGTTTCCTCCAGATGCTCTGGTTTCCTCCCACAGTCCAAAGATGTGTAGGTTGGGTGGATTGGCCGTGCTAAATTGCTCTGTGGTGGCCAGACTGTGCAAGTTAGGTGCGTTAGCGAAGGTAGATTTGGGGTTAGCAATGGTAACTGTGGGTTATGGTGATAGGATGGTGAGGTGTGGTTATGGTTGGGATGCTCTACAGAGGGTTGGTGCAGGTTTAATAGCTCAAATGGCCTCTTTCCACATTATAGGGATTCCATGTGGGAAAATGTGAAATTATTCACTTTAGTGAGAAGAAGAAAAAAAGGAGCATTATGGAAATGGAGAATGACTGCAGAATTCCAAGATGTAGCAGGAAAATATTTGAAACTTATAAATCGTACAGTCTCCGCATGAGTTCTGAAATATATTTACCATAATGAATGAATGATCTTTTAAAGTATTTTGGAAACTGTTTTCTTAATCTTGACACGAAAGATTGCAAACATTGGGGGAGACCAAATTCACTGTTTCAGTTGCCAATCTTGTTATGTTTGTCTCTGACATTTTAAACAAATTTGTACTGTGCAATAAGTCAAATAGTCGTAAGCTAGGCAGGGTAACTCATTATGAATATTGAGTTCTGTTGCTTTGAAACCCAGATTCTCCACTTAGTTTTCTCATTCCTGTTTATTATTGATAGCATGGAAATCAATTTAGCAATTTATATTGCCTTCTCCGCTCAAAGAATTGGTTTCATTTCGTTCAGCATGCTATTTGTGTCTAATGAACCTGCTCTTTGCCTGCTAGATGTGAATGCTTCCTCGTCTGTGGTGAAATGTGTGTCATTGTAATTATTTATAGTCTGTTTGAAAGTTCAGGCTAGTACCAATTTCAGAGAGGAAACATGCAGATCTCAGCAGGAACCACAACAGATATTTATTTGCATGGCACTAGTAATTGTAATGAAGCTACGCACGTAACTGTTGCTTGGCATCATGTGCCTTTTGTGAATGTCCAATTCTAAGTTGATTTTGTGTTAAAGTATTTTAACTGTAAAATATACAATTTCGTTAAATTGTACTAGTTACATGGATACAGTCATTGGTATGCAAAACAATGCATGTTCAGATGACCGAAAGTGCAGTTTGGTGTCAGTGTGGCCCAATCTACTTTGGAATAGTTTTTGTGTCTTACCGCAGTTCTAAAATGTCGTAATGTTGACACAAGAATCAATGAAAATGTAAGTATGAGATTTCCTATTTCTGAAAAGAAGTACAAAAGTTATTTTAATGAGTAACGTCTACATATTGAATTTTGATTGTGGCTCGGTTTGGTTAATTTTGGATAATTCTATGCTGCTGTATACTGGTGACTGAAACTAAAATTTATTCTTTTTCAAGCATTTGTGATTTGATAGTTTTCTGAGAGATTTGATTTTTCTGCAGAGAATCTTTATTAAAGAAAGAGTTTGATGAAGACAAAAAGTCCTTGCAGAAATCCATCACTACTACTAGTGCCTTGATCGCAGATAGAGACAAAGAACTCGAGAAACTCAGGAACGAGGTAAGTTATTTGTCTAAGCAGATGACAAAAGTTTGGAACTGCAAATACTAATGTGAAATTCATTGATAATTGTCTTGCAATTAATGATGAAGGTGATTATTGAGTGATATCACTCTTCGCTTAAACAATATCTACCCAGGGTTGGGGGCTAGAAAGGGGTTGTTTGGATTGATGATGGGAAGCTAGATTAATTTTGTTAATTTACTGTAAGTTACAGTGAGAGCAGAATTATCTTTACAAGTGATAAATGTGATAAAATTTATTCTGTCTAGTATAAGTTTTACACTTTGTAAAGGTGAATAGAACCCATTAACCATCCTTGCACTGGAGATTCATCTGTCCAGGCATTCCGCACCTCAGTAGGTTTTTAAAAAAAAAATTCAATGATTTTGGATAGATATGGTGGACTTGATTGGAGAATAAAGTCCCTCTTATTTTAAAAAAAATGACTTTTTAAATTTCTATACCTGTATTTGAAGGACACTGATTACAATAGACACTAAAATCCTAAGTTTTCTGATTTGTAACATTGATGGGAATATGCCAGAATAATTAGGTTATCACCATTCTTTACAATAAGACAGTCCTAGATGTAAGCATTTATTACTATATATGGCTTGTAAGAGTTTCTCATTGTGACCATATGAGGGAGCTGATTTCAAGTTAATGTTTAATCGACAATTGGAGTTTCGGTCACTAATTTTGTCTCTTTGAAAAAGGGGTTATGTTTCTATCATACCTTTCATAACATGATGGTACACTAAGTAGTTAAAGCTTGGGTGAGTCTGCCAACAATGTATGCTTCCACCAGTGAACACTTTATAAATAATGTTTGTGACTCACTAACCCACATGAAAATTAATAAGTACTGATATTGTCCTAATGAAAATCTGAGAGCTTTGTAACGTTGAAGCTAAATGAAGTCGTCAGTATCAAAGATAGCCTTGAAATATTCATTCAGGGTAATAAATATTTGAGAGTAAGGTGTTATCATTCTAATGAATTCAAGGTGTTATCAGTCTGAGTCACTTCTGTTTTGTTACAGGGCATTCCATGTACACTCTACTGTCTTGAAATGTAAAATAGTTTCTAAAGCTTAAATTCTACTAAACCAGAAATCTCTTTAAACTAAATAATTTCAGTCAGCTTGTGAAAACGCATGTAATTGTCTATCGCCATCAGTGATGTTTAACTTTGTTTGCTGTGTAGATCACAGTGCTACGAAATGAAAATGCCATGGCAAAACAATTGCAGTCAGTAGTCCAATCATTGGAATCTGATAAATCAAAACTAGAACAAAAGGTACAGAATTTGGAGAAGAAAATCAATGATAGCAAGAGGCAGCTTGACAATGTTACATCTTCAGGTAAATAGAACACCATTAGGTCTTGATATTTGGTTGTTCTTTTTTAAATTGTACGGCAACTTAATGACTTTTTCAATTAGTAATAGCATGTATTTTAGTCTAATACTTTGCATGATTATTGTCAGCTTACAGACTGCTTTAATTTTATGTTGAAAAGTAGAAAATTAAGATATTTATTTATTTTTATGGAGGAATTATTTACAAAATAATCAGTTCTAAAGATGTCTATGAATTGTGTCCCACCTGATATTTACCCAGATTCTTACTATTACTGTCACAGAACTACTAAGAAATTGATCAAAGTGGCCTGGAGTTGTTTTCATTCCCTAGTTTCCCAGCATAGCATTAAAGTTATTTTTTTAAAAAGCCATGTGCATGGCACAAGAGATGCAAAGCCCCTCTCAATCCACTCGGTCATGTGATTTGCTCACACACACAGCTGTTGTATCATGATGGTGGGCTGGGAATGTTGGTAATGTTAACTGCAAGTAGGATTCCAATAGAAAATACTAGTTTATTTACCACTCATGATGTGAGACTGTGACAATTTTGACCACAGGAAGTGGCTATTGGCCTCTAGAAAATCGTCAGTCAGGCGAGTAAAGGAATAGAGCTTCTAGAGTGATCTTGGGTGGGAGCAGTGGAGACTGTGTGGCTGGGGCAACCTATGTTTTTCTTAGGGCTAAGAGGAACACTTTCCTCTTGGTGTCCCAAGAGAAAAATTTAATGAAAGAAAGCATAGAGCCTCTTCAACTACGTAATCATCTTCACTCTGATCATTAACTTGGTTAGAAAGCTGTGGCAGCTTTCTGTCGTAGGCTGTTTAAAAATATTGTCAGCGTAAAGACAGTGTCTACTGTTTATTTTTATGCTTTTTAAAATGGTAGACTGTAATGAGAAAGAAATGTTGCAAATGTGTTGAAAAGCAATTAACCTGACATTCATACCAAGCACCATTTAAACGTGAAGAAAACCAGTTTATCTTTCCTTCAGTTGTTGCGCTAAGCTGTGACTCTTCTAAACCAGTGGAAATGTTTGGAAAAGGAAAGTTGCGAGGAAACCTGATCGGCAGGAACCAACACAGCAGATCATGTGAACAAAGACTACAGAATTCCCCCCCCAATCCATGTTTCTTTTCTATCTACGTCTTGATTTATAAGGGGATTAGTTTTAATTTGTAGGGTTATGTGTTGATGTTATATAACTCTTTACCTGCAGCTAGAGTCTAGTTTCTTCTAATGAATAGTAATTTGTGTTAAGTACAGGAACCTCTGCCTTGCTTTCTATCAGCCTGGGACTGAAAAGCAGCTACCTTGGGGAATATTTGATGCTTCTTAAAATCTTTGATTTATGTGATAACTTTGGGGATAGCGGGGCTTGATTTCCAGCTCACTCCCCTGTGAGGTGTGATAATAGAGCCCAATTATGTCATTGGGCTTCAATTAGCACATATAAATTGAGAGCCTGCCAGCTTTGGGTGGGCAGTTTAGCTGCCTGTTCAGAACATCCATTAAGACCCAAAATGGAGGGTGAATAACGCAAGGCATTTTAACTGCGTACAGTTCATTTGTCGGATTAATTTAAATTTCCCACCACACATTGTAAAATATGTTGAATGACAAAAGTTGCCAAAGGTCATGGCTTTCCTCATTTTAGTTATACCGACGCAAAATTAGATGTAGGGAAATAATGATTTATATGAAAACTGATAGAAGTTGACCCCTCATGACATTCAATTTCTCAAGAGTGAAGAAAAGAAAAAAATTCAGGTAGCATACACCTTGTCTTGACTTCCAGCCCATTGCAAGGTATGTTAGAACTCATCTAGAAATTAAGTGTACTCACTGTTAGACTGTAGGAAAATGCAGTAGAAAATTTGCACACCACAAAGTTCAACAGACAGTAATGAGCTTTGTTTTAATGATTGATTGCCAGTGTAGTGAGATTGTCCCTGCCCTCCTTTTAAATATTTTGAGAGGATCACTTGCATTCACTTGAAAGGACAGACAAAGTTTAGCATCTGATCTGAAAGACAATACCCTTGACCATGTGGCACTGCTTTTGTGTACCACTGAAATGCATCTAACAGTGTGTTCGATGCACTGAAGGAGGTGTGATTCCGCAACCTTCTGACATTGTATATCAAAATGGCATGGCTGAGCCACCAATGACGCTTCTCTTCCCACCCACCCACCACCACCCCCAAAGCTTCTGTGGTCAGCAGGGCTCAGCGGGGAAGCAAGGTATAGCACCACAGGCTGCCTCCTCCATGGCTGATGGAAAAGAAAAGAGTAACCATAAAATTCCTCAAGCATATATAGTGGTTAACTATGAAAACTAGCAAAGACTGCACGGACCTGATGGGCTGTATGACTGTACTGTGAGCTCTTTTCATTCAGTCAGCCAACAAAAGCATGAAGTAATACCTGGTATCTGACGACAAGATACAGACATGGTACTTGACTCCAAAATCACAGCTAACGTAATGAATAGTTGGCACAATATGTCATTAAAAGTATGAAGAATGTATTCTTGTAGTGTTCTCCCAAGTTTGTATTCTCTTTGTACTTTAATGCATAGTCATGGTTTTCAAGATTTTTTTTTTTATTTAAAGGTGAACCAGTCATTGAAAAACAAAGCGAAGGAAATGATTCAGCTGAGAGCCAGGTAACCTTGTCATTTTATAATTTGCTCAACACCAGATTGATATTGTCAAAATGAAGAAAAATACTCAAATGTGCAAGAGACAGATGTGTCTTGAAGCCCTGGTGATAAAATGTAACCAAACTCTATGGAAAATTTGTATTGAACAAATTGAGTTAAGTAAAACAAATAGAGGTTAAGTTACAGAGTATAATTTGTAGTTACTAAAAGTACTTCTATAAATTTTTTTTATCATCTCTTAATGATTGCTTGCAATATTTGACTGACGGCCAATTGTAGTCTTTAAAATCCAGGTTCAAGAGTTTTTTTTTTTAATTTTCATGAAAAATTAAGAAATTCTCCAAAGGCTAGTTTCTACTTCAGGTGTTTCCAAATCTGAGAAGAGTTTACTGTGGTAATGGCTACTCACATCTTTCGTTCAAGGAGTGGGGGAGTTGATGGTTGCTTGAGAACAGGCAAAATTCTCCTCTTAAAATGATTGAGAACAAAATGAGAATATGGAATCAGACCCTTTGCTCCAACTCATCCATGCAGACAGGTACCCCAAGCTTAACTTGTCCCATTTGCTTGCATTTAGTCCATATCCCTCTGAACCTTTCCTATTCATGTACTTGTCCAAATGTCTTTTAAATGTTGTAATTGTACCCACCGCTACCACTTCCTCTGGCAGTACATTCCATACATGCACCATGGTCTGTTTGAAAAAGTTGCCCTTCAGAACTTTCTTAAATCTTTCCCCTCACCTTAAACTTATGCTGTCTAGTTTTGGACTCCCTTACCCTTGGAAAAAAGACCTTGGCTATTCAGTTTATGTAGATTTTTTTGAAGTTAATTAGACTAGTCATTTAGACTGCCATGAAAACCACGCAAAAATAAACAACCACATGTCTGAATTGGACCTTCAGTTCTGTAGCCCTAACTACTGTCAGCCTAAAATAACGCCTGCTGTCTCAGTTTTTAAATTCTGTGTAGACCATCACCCTTTGGGGAAGGAGAGAGTTCAGCATTTCTAGAATCGTAGAATCCCTACAGTATGGAAGCAGGCCATTCAGCCCATTGAGTCCATGTCACCCCTCCAGAGAGCACACCAAATCCCCCCTGCTGTGAGGCAGCAGTGCTAACCACGGAGCCAGTGTGCTGCTTCTTAGAGGTTTATAAAATCATGAGGGGCATAGATAAGGTGAATAGCAGAGGTCCTTCACTCAAGGTAGAGGAGTCCAAACCTAGATGGCATAAGTTTAAGGTGGGAGGGGAAAGATTTAAAAGGGATCTGAGGGGCAACATTTTCCACACACAGGGTGGTTTTTATGTGGAATGGGCTGCCAATGGAAGTGGTAGATGCAGGTGTAGTTATAACGTTTACAAGACATTTGGACAAGTGCATGAATATGAAAGGTTCAGAGGGATATGGGTCAAATGCAGGCAAATGGGACTAGTTTAGTTTGGGAAACTTGATCAGCATGGAAGAGTTAGACCAAAGGGTCTGTTTCTGTGCTCCGTGACTCCAGTCACCTTATTAATGCCCCTCATGATTTTATAAACCTCTATAATGTCAATCCTCCGCCTCTGACTGTTGAGGGAAAAAACATCCAGCCTATTCAGCCTCTCCCTATAACTCAAACCCTCCAGACCTGGCAATATCCTTGTAAATTTTTCCTGCACCCTTCCTAGTTTAACAGCATCCTTCCTATAGCAGGAAGACCAGAATTGTACACAGTATTCCAAAAGTGGCCTCACCAATGTCATTTACAGCCACAACATGATGTCCCAACTCCTGTACTGAATGCTGTGACCAATGAAAGCAAGTGTGCCAAAAGCTGCCTTCACCACTCTGTCTGCATGCGACACCACTTTCAAGGAATAAAGAACTGGCACCCCTAGGTCCTCTGTTCAACAACACTCCCCAGGGCTCTACCATTAACTGTGTAAGTCCGGCCTTGGTTTGCCTTATCAAAATGCAACACCTCACATTTATCTTAATTATACTGTATCTCCACTTCTTGGCCCATTGGCCCACCTTCTTTAGTGTCCTTTATTCCACTAATTTTGGTGTCATCCGCAAACTTGCATGTACCAACAATTTTCAATGTGGCAAGATCCTTTCCCAATACTTTTAACCAAGGAGTGCCATGGGATACTTTCCATGCAGCAAAGTAGGCAGATGGGGCTGTTCTCAGTTTAACATAATTTGAGAGATGGCACCTTTGATCATGTAGCACTCATTCAGTACTGCACTGCAGTGTCAACCTCTTTTTTATTTTTGTGTTCAGGTTTAGGAATTGGATGTGAACAATTGTAAAACATTTTGTTGCACAGACAATATAATTGCACGGAAGGGCTAGTAGGTAAACCAGTGGAATGTTAAGACATTTTTCCAAAAGCTGGATCATTCTGTCATTAGTGATCATTACCTGGACAACTGTTTGGAAAATGTCACCTGTAAATGAAGAGGGTTTATTTGAAAATATTTTGATATTTTGTCAGGTTTATTAGATTGTCTTGTAATTTTTTTTGTGAAGAGAAGTGCTAAAAAGCAATGGATTACAATACTGTATATGCTTATTCTGCATATTTCCTATTTTTGCAATAACTTTTAGTTAAGTAATGTACTAACTGGTTTCTTCATTTCTTTCCCTGTTGACGCTGCGGATGCTTCTCTCCAAACAGCAAATGGTTTGTTTTTGCTTGCCTTTCTTTTCTTGTCTGTTTGTTCTGCATTGGTATGTTTGGCAAAATCCCTAAGATCACTCTGTTACCTGAATCCTATCAAACAGTAATTATTGTCAGGCCAGAGTTTGTATTCAGAGGGAAAAGAAATCAAATATTGAATACGTATACAGGATGATCTGAAATTTGTCCATTACTAGTATGAACCTCAAAATTGCAACATATTTATCAATTAAAAGTGCCCATAGCATAGTAAAAGTATTAAATTTCGCACTCATTTCTTATTTGTTATATTTTTGTAATTGCACTTTTCTCTTGATGCTAAATCAAGGTAAAACATCGAATAATGACAAAGTGTGAATTAAAGGCAAGAAAATTTGAAAACAGCCAAAAAGAAACTACTACTAGCCTATGAAAAGTAATCCCAAATGACCAATTGAGAGAAACCACCATTACAGATGACCGGGAAATGTGACAAGTCAATTGCCCAATATTGAAAAATTGCAGAATACAAATGTCATTAACAATTTTACCAAATAAGCCAATTTTCCTAACGAAGGCATTAAAAAATAAAAGACTCAACCTTTCCCAAATTCCTGTATTAAACATGACATAATACTCCACATTTTGCTGAAGCTTTTTGTGTTGCACTCTCCAGGACAGTCTACAAGAATGTCACTTTAAAGGGTAAACCGACATTGATTTTTCTTTTTATTCATCTATCACATGTTTGAGCAACAAGTGAAGCTAGCTGTATCATACTACTGTTACTCAATAGCAGTATGAGTGGTGTTTGCCACTAATGGGTTGCTGCATGAAGCCAACATCCTGGGAATCACACAAATGAGTACTGTGCTGGCATGGTGCTAGGTATATAGGTCATACCTCCTGTAGACTGGTAGATCACATCAAATGATATATCAGTTCGGCTGTTTGCCACAAGCAAAGTACTGACCAAACCAACCAGCCCACATTTCCAAACTCTCTCCTAATGTCCTGACGGTGGATGTGATTCCAAATTGGACAGCCTTTGCTAAATAGTCCTGTGTGTGTGAAGAATTACTCTAACAATCAATTTTGCATTGTTAGTTAGGCTTGCAGTGTGCTGTACTTGCATGTACTAGAAGCAACAACATATTAACTGACACAGTCCAATACTTTGCAGACAGAAAGAACATGTACACCACACCTGTTTCAGCTCAACAGAATAGGTGCCAGCCATTCTCTGGTTCATTAATCAAGGTATTGTCCTAAGAAATCAACAATCAACCTGCTGGAGTTCAAAATAAATAAAGCTTGTGATTGACCAGTCGTGATTGACCAGTCATCATTGACTGGTGCATTCTGCATGGCAATACCTTCACCAATCAGAGTTCACTTACTAATCGATCAGAATACACCTCATACATATAAACGTTGCTTTTCATTAACTTTTGTATTTCTTCCAAATTGACCTCATGAGTTCAAGACAGGAAGCCATGACAAAATGAGATTTTTTTGCAGTACCCAAGTTCTGTAGTCCCAAATGGTGATGATACTTCATTGTTAGCTGAATGCAGATCCCTGTGGTCTCAGAATGTACACTGTACACCATTGTCCAGGATATTTAGCCAGCACCCAAGTAGCCAAGTAACTGACACAGTAAGTGAATAAAATTGAGTGATCATGTATTTGACTTCTCAATAAACAATTGAGTTGAATTTTGAATGCTGTCAATCAGAAGGACCAAAACCATCCATCACCTGTGGTACTGTTTGTTAGAAAAATATTTTCTAATTAACCTGTTCAGAGATGTTAATACACACCTCTGGAGCAGGCGGGACTTGAACCAGGGCCTCCCAGTCCATGGGTAGGGACACTACCACTGCACCACATGAGGGCCCCTCATAAAAGGACCCTGTTGTAAACATGCATAATTTATGACACCGATGAAAGTAGACACAGTTAGTAGCGGAGAGGTGCCTGACAAGGAGCTAATTCATAACTTTGAATTCAGTGCTTATTGAGATCTCCTAGAAACTTGGGAGTGCTGCTGAATCCAGGATCAGGTCCTCCCTCTCTCCCCATGTCCTCTGGGCATTGACCATGTCAAGACCCTTAAGAATCCTATATGTTTCAATGAGATCACCTCTCATTCTTTCTATGTTTCATGTACAAATACCCACAAGTCCCTTTTGTGTTGTAGCTTCCTGCAGTTGATCTTCATTTAAATTTTTTTCCGTTCTTTTATTTTCCCTTCCAAAGTCAACTTCATATTTTCCCGTGGCATGCTTCATTTCCCAACTTTTTGCCAACTTAATTAACCTATCACTACCTCTCTGTGAATTGTTTGTATCCCTCTCGTAACCTGCTTTTTCACCTATTTTTGTCATCTGTCAGATTTGACTACAGTGTATTTGCTTCCTTCTTCCAAGTCATTAATACATCTTGTAAACAGTTGTGGTTCCCGCACTATCCCTGTGGAACCCCATTGGTCATGAGTTGCCAACCTGAAAAAGAACCCCTTCTCCCTACTCGTGTTTCCTATCCATTACCCAATTCTGTATCATGACAATATTCTGCCTCCGACACTGTGGGCTCTGATGTTTTGGCTTAACCTTTGTGAGGAACCTTTTGAATGCCTTCTGAAAGTCCCAATACAGCACATCTGCTGGTTGCCCTCAATCTACACTGGGTAAGACTTCCTTGAAAAACACTAAAATTAGTCAGACACGATTTTCCTTTCTTGAAGCCATACTGACTCTGCTTGATTAGATTGATTTTCCAAATGCTGTGGTATTACTTCCTTTAATAATTGATTCCAATACTTTTCTAATAATAGATGTTAGGCTAATCAGCATTTAGTTACCTGCTTTTTGCCTCCCTTTTTGAATGGGATGTCACTTCAGCAGTTTTCCAATCCTGTGATACTGCTCTATCTTTTTGTCTATCTTATGCTTTTATAATGATCGAGAGTAAAAATTTAATTAACTCATTTCTAAACTAAATAGAATAAATAGAATTGTTTTAATTGACCTCAAAATAACAGGAACAATTCCAGAGTACTCTGCAATAAAATGGAATTTAAAATAGAATTATTCAGACAGAATAAATCTTAAGTTGTTACAATCTTCTGTATGTGACATAAACACCCCAAATTTACAAAGCAATGTATCCTCTGACTCACCTTTTGCTATGATATGGGAGACTTGCTTGTGTTATATTAGAAATGTGCTGATAATTATTTGTTTTTAATAGATATTCATTATTATTATAGTTAATATCTCACATCAAACATTAACGTGGAAGCAACATTACTGCCTGTTGACTGATTTTTGCATTGTTTGGATCAGAAGAACAAAAATAGAACTTTATCTCCATGATCTTAAGATATATTCTGGTATATGCCAATGAAGGGTTTATATACCCTGACTTGGAGTTTGTTTGGCATAATTGTGCAATGCCGCCATTTGATCTCTGGTAACCAACTAATTCCCAATTTAAATTAACAGTTTTGGATCATGATGTTGTGGTTGCACAAACATTGCTGAATACATCAGTACAAAATGGCCTAGTCTCAAATGCACAAATGTGCAGTGGGTCAGATTTATATTTTCAAAAAGGAGCTGCTCAAATTCTGCATGAGCCAATCACTCTGCTTCTTATGTCAGTGCCTTTTTACAAATCAAACATTGGAAAAAAATGTTCAATACTTAAATTACCAGTTGGTGATCTGTGATTCTTGTGCGTTCAATTCAAATGAAATCACCCATAAACTTAAAATGGCTTTCAGCTACCATTTACTTTTTTAAAGATTACTTCACAAAATCTTTTACTTTAATCTTCTTTTAATTCCATTAAAGTAAATCTTACCCATGCAGTTTTTCGCACAAACATGCTTCAAAAATATAAACATTTACTGTGGTAATTTATTATTTTACCAAAAATTGATAATTTTGCATATTTCAAAAACCAAAGTTTAAATGTTGTAGTAATTGATTGGCTTCTCAACTTGCAAAAAAGTTCAACCAATTAAGTTTTAATGGCTAATAACTCTAAATTATCATTGTTTCTATATGTGTAGTGATTTATTCTATCTTTATTATGATATTAATTCCTTTTTCAGTGTTTCGGTACTGAACATACTCAGGATATATTTTAATTTTCCCTTGACAGAAAAACATTTTTTGACCTGATGTAAGTGAGCAAAACTGTGTCCTGTGAGTTTAGTATGTCAGAAAGAGTGTGAAATCTCTCTTAATGTGACTTGAATTACAAACACCAAACGTGCTCAATACTTTGGTGTATGAGTGCCCATAATGTCCTCAATTAGCCTGGGCCTTTTCCTTTCAGCAAATTAAATCTACATATTCCTATTCAATTTCCATTAAGAGATCAGAGTATGCACACCCTTTTAAGGATTTCACAAGTGATGGAATTGTTGAAGATAACTGATTATATTTTACTCTTTTGAATCCCAGATTGATTTCCTGAACTCTGTAATAGTGGATTTACAAAGGAAGAATGAAGAACTGAAGGCGAAGCTAGCACAGATTGCTGAAGCGTCCCTTAATGGCAATGATGCTACTGATGAAAACAATTTTGGCAGGTAAGTTGAAATGATAAATATATTGTGAATTTTCTGAATGCAACATGAAGTTGATAATCTGCACTGAGAAATCTGATGATTCTTCACATCTTGAGCCCTTGATATTCAGTCATTGAGAGATTAAAGAGACAGGAAATTAGAATGGCAGGTGTGCAACTCTCTTAAGCTATCCAGTACCGATAGTGCCTTTAAAGAAGTTGCTTGGTTCCCATTAGTTTGATTTGTAGATTTAATTGTACTGTTCTGAGAAGCACTATGCACAGTATAGGTAGATCAGGATTTTGCTACCTGACCCATAACCATAAGATATGGGGGATCTCTGTCTTTCAATGGAATCATGACACAACAAATCAGCTTAAATTCCATTTTCCTGCTTTATCCCCATGAACCTTGATTCCCTTGCTGATTTTAAAGTGTCTGTCTCATTCTTGATAACAACCTAACGTCAACAGCCCTCTGCAGTAAAAAAAATCCACAAATTCACTGTCCTCTGAGAGGGGAAAAGTCCTTCTTATCTTGCCCTCCATCGGTGACCACTTACTCTGACGTTATGCCCTCTGTTTTTAGACTCAACCATAAGGAGAAACAATCTCTTCACAGACCCCGGTGCCCTGTCACATTGAAAAGTTAGTTGTCAGTTTGTATGTAACACAAAAAAGTTGAGAGAGAAAGGTATAGTAAGTACCAAGTCTTCTAAAACACAAGGCCAGCAGAGCCTTTCATACTTTCTTCAACTATTTAACGTTGTGACCTTCAGCAAAGGGACATAAAAATCTAGTTCTCAGACGAAACACTGATGATATTGCCATGCAATCTGCTTTTACAGCTTAGATGAGACACAAACAAAGAAAAAACCACCACCTCGTCTCTTCTGTGATATCTGCGATTGCTTTGACCTCCATGATACAGAGGATTGTCCCACACAAGCACAGATGTCTGAATTTCCACAACATACTACTTACCACGGCAATAGAAATGATGAGCGACCCTATTGTGACATCTGTGAGGTTTTTGGGCACTGGACAAACAACTGTAATGATGATGAAACCTTCTAATGCAATACCAGAATACAGACATGGTCTGCATAATTTGTGTAATTCTGCAGTTTTTTATGCTCTTTTCTGCTTAACCATTTTTCTCTTGTCATTACTCTGTACTGCACATTCATATAACTACATTTATTACGGTTTCAGTATCAAATAACTTGAAAAATTAACTTATACCGAACAATTATTACATTTGGTTTAAGATTCACTGTATTAAAACCTTGTAGTATTTGAAACTATCTGCTTCTGAATGTCAGACTTTATGTATAAAGAGAGTGTGGAAATTATATTGTTTTACATATTATATGTAAAATATGTGGGAAATTAGGCTTATAAACATGTACATACCTTGATTTATTTTGTCCAACAGTAACTTACTCAGAAATCAGCATAAGGATATGTTGAATATTTTTCTTTATTTCTAAGTTTGGGTTTTGAAATTAATGTATAGTATTACAATTGTTGCAGGGAGAAAGCATATGTAAGGACAGTATTAATCCAACAGTGTGTCAAGTTTAATAAATTATTATCTTTGTTTTGATTGCCTTCACTGATCTGTACATGATGTAGAGTGTTTAATTCATCTTCTGTATTTTTAATTCTGAAATGTGTTAGATTGTCTGATTATTGTTTCCTTCATCGTTTTTTAGAAGTTCATGTTTGATATTCGTGTAGTCAAACCAACATCAGTATAAGATGTTCTGTAGTAATGAACTTCTAAGTGCTTTTATGATCCCAGCTGATGTTTGTACTGGATAAGTCAGATCCCAGAATGAATTCTGGCTTGACTTGATAGGTCTTTTTTGTTTAAATGTGCCAGTCTTTCACTGAAACGTAAGTACACCAGACTGCAAATTTGGCTTCAGTAATAAATAAGTTTGTTACACAAAAGAAAAGTAAAATAGAAAAAAGTTATCTGCATGTAGCACAATTTAAAAAAAAAAGGTCCTATCCTATAGTTCTCAATACATCACTGTACAATTATTCAAAACACAGAGAAATGTACCTTCCGTATCAAATCTGTAGATTGATTTAACTGCTTGTCAGTTCCAGTCCGATGAGCTACACAACTTTTTGCTATGATTCACTCACTTGAGATTCTCAGCTTTTACATAATCAATGCACACTGCTAACCAAATACTCCTGGTCACAAACTGAAACTCTGACACTGAGTTAACTTCTTCTCTCAACTTTTCTGAGCAAACTCCATTTCTAGTTGAAACTATTCTTGCATCTGACTTTGGTCAGGTCTTTTTTGAACCAAATTTTTTTTAAAGAAAGAGAATATGCCTATTCTAGACTATGCTAAGCTAATGGCTTAATATTTTCTCTCCTGCCTTTTAAACACACTTGCATATACTGGCTTAAATCATTATTTCGAAAACCTAATCTTGTTAAAATTAAATCAGTTCTCAAAAAAAAAAAACAACCTTTATGCCACTAATTTAAAATCCAATTTCTAAAAATGTGATCATATGTATAAATCACTCCTTTTATCACAATGCACATTCCCATTTATAACATCTCTAATGACAAGTAAAATTGTTCACTTTTTGGTTCTAGGTTAATATCTAAAACAGTTATTTCATCTAATATTTCTAAACAGCCAAAGTAACAACTACATTAAAGATGCTATTAAAATATAACATCCCTAAAAGCTTCAAAAGAGTGCTTTTACTCAGTCTAACACTGAGTGACATTATGTCAGATAAATCAAAGAAGCATTGTTAGTAAGTTTGCGGATGACACTAAAATTGGTGGTATGGTGGACAATGAAGAAGGTCATCTAAGAGTACAACATCAGCTGGGCCAATAGACCAAGGAGTGGCAGATGGAGTTAAATTTATGTGGATGAACCTCCAGAAGAGGTGGTAGATGCAGGTACAGTTACAACATTTAAAGGACATTTGGATATGTACATGAACAGGGAAGGTTTAAGGAATGTGAGCCGAACGCAGGCAAATGGGACTAGTTTAGTTAGGGAATCCTGGTCAACACGGACCGAAAGGTCTGTTTCTGTGCTGTATGGCTTTAAATGAGGAAAGTGAGAGAAGGAGAGGTGATGGTCTAATGCTATTATCACTGGGCTGTTACTGCAGAAACTACAGTAATGTTCATGGGACCGGGTTTGAATCCCACCATGGCACATTGTGGAATTTGAATTCAGTAATAATGGGGGGGGGGGTGAAGAGAGAAGGAGAAAAAATGTTAAAATCATGGAATCATTACTGATTGTCAGGAAAATCCATCTGGTTCACTAATGTCCTTTAGGGAAGGAAACTGCCACTCTTACCTGGTCTGCTGTTTACTCCAGACCCACAGCAATGTGGTTGACTCGTAACTGTCCTCTGGGTGGCAATTAGGGATGGGCAATAAATGCTGGCCTAGCCAGTGACACTTTCATCTTATGAATTACTTTTTAAAAAAAATTTAGAAGAAAAGGCCATAGTTAGGTGCAAATAGGATTGAGAGCTGTAGGGGATTACACAGATGAATGGGCAAGACAGTGGACAGATTGATTGATTTATTTTCCTCCCATTACTTTGAGATTTATGATGAATCAACTAAGTGTGGACACCACCAGGCTCTCCCATCACTATCCCTGGATATGTTGTGCCCCATGGGCAAATCAGTTCTCCCAGAACTGTGGCTTGCAGGGAGTGATGTACATTTCTTCTAGATACTGTGAAGATTGATGTCTTCAGATTGGTTAAATTCATGGAAATCTCCTTGATCTGCCCTTTTGCTTCATCTCAGCTAATAAGTCAGTCATCATCATATGAAGAAAACTCTGGAGGGAAGGATAACTCTTATACATGGGAGCTTCATTGTCAACCGGTAAAAATGACTCCTTGGAACATTTACTGATCTAGCTGGGTGAGCAACTTCCAGATTTAACCTACCTCAGGTGTTGAGGACACAAGGATAGAAGTTATAATGTGGAAACAGGCCATTTGGTCTCTTGGTATTTACTGTGCAGTCAAGTAAATAGTCTGGTCATAATGTTGTTTCCAGCATTTGTTTTTATTTTGTATCCAGCTATCAGTCTAATCTTGAATGTATGGGCATTTCACCAGACATTAAGTTTCTAGTCTCAATGCTTTGTAACTAAATTTATTTTGTTCTTCTAAGTCTGTTACACTTATCCTTATACTTATAAACCCTAATTTTAGACAAATCAATCACCCTAAGCAGCCTACATTTATTCCACAGCACTCCAGGCTGAAGTCAGTGAGGGGGAGAATGCCCATGGCCCATACAATTGACATGCAGCAGTTAAATCTTGCAAGAGCATTCGTTCTTTCAACCAAAACTCTCCCTGTTTCGGGAGGAAGTTCCGCTTAGTGAGCTGTCAACCACTGCAGTGGATGGGAGCAGTGGGCCAGTGTTAAGACTATAGGCACTCCCCAGTGATGAGGAACCGATGTTAAGTTGAAGAGTTGAGGATCTTTTATACGGGACTGTCAACGAACCTGGGTGAGGGAGTCGGGGTGGATGTGAGAAAGTCAAGGCAAGATTCGGGTGGGTGAATGGGGACGTATACTTGATGGGGTTTGTGTCCGATGAAGCCTATGAACGTGCAGATGTGGTCTTTCCCTTGCCCATGTGGCTAAAGTTGTTTGGCTTCTTGTATATATGAGCCTACCCTCATGCAAGTAAAATACCAGATGAGACAGGGTAAAGCCCTGCAGTGGCCTTCAAACCTGCTAATAGATTGTGTAAACACTAGCCTAGAGTGAATTCATATTATTATCCTCTTTAAAGTGTCAATAAACTTCCTATTATGTAGAACTTTATATGACACTACTACCCACATAAACACAAGCAACAGGAGGGAGTAACCCACTTGTTCTTATCCTCATTTGCAAGTGCCACATTTTTAATTACTTTATTTTTGGACTTTTAAAAAGTACTGTTTTAAACCACGGAGACTGTGCAAAGCAATGGCTACAGTTTTAAAACTCGTTTACTGGAGCACAATGTGAGTTGTATACAATATTGTTTTCCCCTGATTCAAGAGAAAGCAGGCACCACAGAGTCAATGGGTTCTGAACCAGGACGACAATTGCTTGACAATGTTTTGATTGGCTCTTAATGAGGTGGCCTTGGCTCGTGCGGGGACAGGGCAGCAGAGAATCCTCTCGCCTGCAAAGAGGTGAAAAGAAATCTATCTCTCTCGTTCTGGAGGTACCAGAAAGTCTCTAGTAACACTTGCTGCCTTCCATTCACCTTGCTCTGCAAATCCTCTGTTGAAGGATGAATAAAAATCTATCAAAAAGTGAAAGGGCAAATTCTCAACCAGCAAATGAAAAATGGTATCAGCGTGCAAACAACAGTGATTCATCAGCAAAGAAGTAAAAGGACTCAGAAGAAACTGAAAGAAACAATTCATCTCTTGTGATTTAAACACTATTGAATTGTGTTTCCCTGACATTATTTTTCTTTTCCCAGCCTTAAAACCCATGTTGTCTGTCTGTTTGTGAAGGGGATGGGGAATTTAAAACAGCTAGCGTTTACATTAAAGAGTAATAGGTTAGCAGTTCCCAATTTAATTTCCCTTGTTTAAAGCCAATTTGTTATTAATAAACAAGTTTCTTTTGTTAGGTACATAAACCAAGCAAGCGCTTTCTTTTGACTTGCATTCATCAGTCAGGTAATTTGGGGGCTTTGAATAGTTTGACTGAATCTTTTCATATTTGTAATAAGTCCAGGATTAGTGGGACTTGACTTGTAGTAAGAAGAAGCCAGTCTCTCTCTTCGAAGAGCATTGACTTGAGAGCTAGGCTACCTCAATATAATTGTACTCTCTGATGAAGAAGAAATCACTGTGCAACTAAGTGAGATTGATTTTTTTTTTCCTGTGTCAATTCAAGATTTGAATACAAATTTTGAGTGCTATTATACCGGATTTTGGTTCTAATGCTGAAGATGTATACCAAAACTTTCGGACAAATCATTTTATTATGGCTATGTTACTGGAATTTATCCAGTCATGTTGCCTAGGCATGTCCTCTGTACAAACAAAGGACAAATCTGACTAGCTGCTACTTTATCCATTTACTTCTAATCAAAAGTGAAGTAATGGTCAGAGTCATCAGATAATGCCAACCCATCAATAGCCTTCTCATCAACACTCAGTTTCGGTTTCCAAAACCAATAGATTTCACATTTAATCACAAAGTTTTAATATGGTGCAAGGATGAGGACAAATATCTTAGTTTCTCCAGCTACTGTGCATACTGTGACATTTAATGTAAAAGCGAAAAGGGCATTTTGTATTCTGCCTTTCATGGCCTTAAGACATTTCAAGATGCTTTATAGACAAAACTGTATTTGCAAAGGGCAATCACAGTTGTATTGTAGGAGATGTAGGTGTTGATCTGTGAACAGAAAGGTTCAAAAAGAACAAAAGCTAATGAGCAGGCAACCTGTTGACATGGGTGAGTGATTCCCTTCCTCCTCATCAAATAGTATGTTGAAAACCTTTTCATCCACTTGAGAAGGCAATTAGTGTCCTTTGTTTAATGTCTCTGGATATCACATTCAATATTGCAGAACAACCTCAATAATGCACTGAAATATCAGTTAACATTTTGTGTTTTAAGTTTCTGGAGTGGAACCTGAGCCCACAGAACGCTAACCCAGTTATGAGATTGCCACCACTGAATCACAACTGACACCTATGGTAGAAGTTTACAGCCTTTAAGACCATGCATGCCCCTTTCTAACATTACTGTAAGGAGCTGGCCATGGGTTAATGATTTCAAAATATTTCCACAATTGTTTACGTAGAATCATTTTTATAACATCTGGAACACCTTATACCTTCTTGGGCATTCTAGGTTTAGTCTCCCCAAAGTATGCTGCTTAAGTTCATGCGCTGCAATAACATTACTTTCAGCGAGATTTTCACCTCTCTTCATATGAGGTTGGAGTATCTACTCCCTTCCAGGTTGTGTACCCACTCATGTGACACTGACATGCACTACGTCACACCATGGATGTTTCTGACGTTAACCTCATTATATCCATCTCAACTAGAAAAAGTTTCTCCAATTTTCATTTAAACATAAGTTTACATTTCTATGCTGCATCAACAGAAAATCAGTATTGGGAAGATTCACAACTTTGTGGGAGAGGGGACTCGGTGACTGACAACAGGGGCCTCTGGACTCATTTGGAGGTGGAGGTGGGTTTTGAGTCAAGAGAGATCTAAAGTTTATTTGTGAGTTTTGGGGAGGTGTATTCCTGCCCCTCCTGACTTACAATAATTCAATTTAATTATTTACCTAGTCTTTTAGCATACAGTACAGTTGTCAGAAAAAGTAAACTGAAAGCTGTCACTCAGCCCTCAAGTAAACTTGTAGATTGAGTTCTAATAGCATCAATTTTTTTCTTGTGTTACTGTGAAAGACCTAGGGCTGTCTTATTAGATTTGCTGTTATTTCACTGTTGTGGTGCCATGAATGTCACTAACCTAGTCAAAAATGCAGGATAATATCACGACACAACAGGAAGGCAGCAAGATCCAAGAAGAGAGGTGACTGCCTTGATTCTAACTGCCATCTGCCTGGTCTTCACTGGACAGGGGGTGTTTGGTTTGTTTGGGTTACTTAAATTCCTATGTATTATCAAAACATAAAACTTGAATTTGTTTAGTGATGGTTGCACTGACACTGCAATTTAGTTTTAAGCTTCTGTTCCTAAATGAATGGTGTGTGATTTTGGGAAGGGGACATTTGTCGTGATGTTGTGACTCAGATAACTCTGGAATGGAACCAGAATTAGTCCTCAATTTTAAATAGTGTTTTCGCAAAAAGCAACACTGTTGATTTGGTATTTTATATGCATTCCCTGTGTAGTAACAGGTATAGAGTGTTAGTTAATTATTGGTGAATTGAATTAGATTCAATGAGACCTCAGTACATAAGAGCAGCAACTGCAACAGAACACGGCCACACTCCCAGGGGCTAGTGATGGAAAGGTCAGGTCACATGGGGCGGTGCCTGCCGCGTCACATGACCCGGTTCAAGATGGCGGCGCACCTCAGTTACGGGAGAGTGGTTCTTAACAACTTGCGAGAGGCGGCCCGCAAGGAGCTGCGCGAATTTCTGGATAAATGTGAAGGCAGCAAGGTCTGCAGTGGGGGATGGAGGGTTTAGACTGTGTGATACTCGCGGGAGCAGTCCGAGTCCTGAAAACTCAGTTCTCCGGATCCCTCCCCGTCGGGATAAAGGATAGGGCGGCCTGTCCAAAATTAAACCCTCCCCGGGAGGAGGATAACTCCCCGGCCCATCTCAACCCCCGGGGTAGGGGACCCTTCCAAGCATTAACTGCTCTGGGGCAAGATGGTCCTTTCCAAAATTAACCCCCGAAACCCTGGGGGAAAGAGAACCGCCCCTATCCATCTCAGCCCCTATAATCTCTAGGGGCAAGTGGACCTGTTGCAATATTAAAACCCTCGATCCTGCTTGTATTAACCACAAAGCCCAGTGGCAGGCGGACCCTTTCCAGTATTGCTTCCTAAAAGCCTATGGGGGGGTGGAGGTTGGTGTATAAACCCCAAACCTTTGCAGGAGAGTGACCCTGTATGTATCAGTCCTGAGGATAGGGGACCCTTTCAGTATCAACCCCTTAAAGCCCGGGACAGAGGAGACCATGTCCAATATTCACCTCTTGGATGTGGGGAGGGGTGAGTGGAAGAGTGTGAACCTATTCATATTAACCCTAAAACCTTAGGATCTGTTTGATCCCTTTTGTGTTAACTCCTGGGGGTAGGGTTACCATTTGTGTCTTAAACGTTGCACCCCGAAGGGTGCTGAACCTTTCTATGTAACCTTGGAGACATCAGGGCAGTGTCGGTTGCCCTTGTGTCAATTAATCTTGAGGAATCTGTTAACAGTCTGCTTTATTATGAGAACACTGAACTAAACAATTGCTCAGCTTTAGGAAGATGGGTGTGCAATGTTCATGGTGGACACCTATTCATTGTGTAATTAATTTTTCCTAATGTTTTTAAGGATTCTGTTGTTCTGTTTTTATGAAGGGCTATTGATTTGTCAGAGCCCTGATTTTCCTGTTATGGTTTCCGTTCTTCAGGAAATGAGTTTGTAATGTTGTCAAACAGTTGTATTCTTGATCTTTCTTTACTCCTAAATAAATCCACAAAAACTGTTTATATCATAAGCTGATTTATTGGTTGAGTCAGCTTCCTCCAATGTGAAATAAATAAAAATGCATGATATACATTTGTCACAAGACCAAAATTGACTTTCTCAGAAATAGAATTAAGAAATTAATTAAGATGCCTTAAAACAAGATTCTGTGTTTGCATTCTTTCACAAAATTTTGCTCCATCCTAATGTTTTTGCATATTTCCTTCCTACCACACTACTAGGTTGATCTGTTGATTCTTTTGGCCCTGTAGCTTGAAACTTGTGCCTTTTCCTTCCTTCCTGCTGCCATCCCCACATTAAAAAAAGAAGCCATGTTGAAACCTAAGATGTAAATGGGACATATCACTTGATGTGGGAGAAAAAACAAAGTTATTGCTCCAGCTTGGATGCCTGTGTGTGTAATAAGTAGAGCATGCTAAAGAAATAGTAGGCTTTAGACCAGTAGCATGGGGAAATCTATGTTAGGTTGGAAGGCAGGACTGGTAAAGGATGTGCAATAATGGTACAGAGCAAAAGTGAGTGTTAGCGGGACAAGTAAATAAGCACAACGTGAGGTAACGGAGCTGTATATGTCAGCAGCAAAACCAATAGCAGCATCTGTCTTAAAAAATTATCGAGTTGTGCTTATGATTTGAAATCATTGAACTTAAGTATTGAATTCGGAAAATTGTAAAGTGGCTAACTAAAAGATGAGAAGCATTTGAACTGTATAGGACAGTGTTGGTGGTCCAGGATTGAAAGGTCAAAGTGGGAGAATTAAAATGGCAAATGACTGGAAGCTCATGGTTAGGTTTGTAGATTGAATGGAAGTTATTGGCAGTCATCTGTTTGTGTTTGGTTTTTGTTTTGCTACTGTAAAGTGCCATGACATTTCTACTGTGCTAAAGTTCCAGTATCTGTAAATTGATTTTTCTCTAGTTACAGTGTTGCAACACAGTATGTTCATTTATGTCACTACGACTTGTTATTAATTTAGTCATGCTCACATTACTTCAGAGCAGAAATAAATTTTGTCAATGATTCAATCTTAATTGACATCTTTACACCTACAGAGATGATGGATATATTTGTGAAATCTTAAAGTGCTCACCTAATGGGTGGTGTCAGGTTCATTGAATATAGCACTATAAGCTTTCCAAGCCTAAAGAGTCCTTACATTTTAATTCAAAAGTATGAGCGAAGTCATATGGTTTAATATTTAGTATTGCAATATCTCTCTTTTCCTTTATGCCACTTTCTTAAAATTCTGTTTATTTCCAGTCACAGTCAATCTTTATTGTATTGAATATCAGAACAACCTGTTAACTTTATCTTTTCAGGTAGATAAAAATCTAGTGTAATCGCACTTTTTGTCTCACATGACATTACTTTTAACAAGTATGGCATAATACCTCTGTTTGTTCAGATGGTAATTATTTTTCTATAACTGCAAGTTAGAATGCTTTTAAATAGTTCAGAAAACAAAGGAGCTGAAATAAGAAATGACACAACGACCCCTTAAGATGTCTCTTTGCCTTTTTGGTTGTTGAGTGGTCTAACAATATTCTAAAAATTTGGAACATTTCTTGCTACAAGATTCCAAAAATTAGCTTAATAATGAAGGATATTGGAACATAGTACAATATGGTATTTTTTGGTATTCTTAAAATATAGTTGTTTCCTCATGCTTCTCATTCTTTAAACTGGAAATAATGATAAAATAGTTTTTGTGAGAATCATGTGTAAACTGTACAGTTGCCTTATTTGACCTCCTTTGCTTAGCCTGTAAAACTTTGCATTTGTATCAGATGTCCTAGTGTGCAAAGTACAAGAACTCAACATTTTTATCCTGATTTCAGAGGTGTAATGTTCAAAAGATTTTTGATACTTCATAATTTTAAATCAAGGCTAATTCACAGTGTCCTTTCGGGGAAAGAATCCTGCTGTCTTAACCTGATCTGGCCTACGTCTTAGTCCAGTACTACACCATTGTGGTTAACTTTTCAATGTCCTTTCAAAATGGTCTAGAAAAGCACTTGTTTTTTTTTCAAATCACTTTGCAAATCGCCTAAGGATGGGCAGTAAATGTTAATCTTGCCATCAATGCCTACATCCTAACGTCCTGAAAATTTTTAAATTTTTAAAAATAGGAATGAGTTTACACTTTAAATGTCTGTTTTCTCTACTTCCTAAGTTACTGATAGCTGAATATTGTTGGAGGTGGTTTATCTCTATGCTCCAAGTGCAGGTACAAGACCATTTGAGATTCCTGGACCTTGTGACTTTCTGGCGTTTGGTGAGCTGTCTGTTTTTCTCACACAGGCAATAGTTTGGGATGAGTATCTTACTGGACCATTTGGATTGATTGCTCAATATTCCCTATTAAAGGTAAATGACTGCTTGTTTGTTTGCTACGTTTTGGGCAATTTGAATGACCAATATTGATATGTCTTTTAAAGTTTTGGCAAAGATCTGTAGCTCGGGTTGTGGATGAGGTTGTTGACTTGTTCACCGGGCTGGCTTGTTTTTGTTCAGACATTTCTCAACATGCTAGGTGACATCATCAGTGGAGCCTCCACTGAAGTGATGTTATTCTACTCCGCTTGGAATTTATACTGTCCGGTCCGTTATGGTGAGTAGTGTCATTTCCGGTTTTGATCTGTATGGGTTTGTATATGGGGTCCAATTCTGTACTTTGGCTTACTTTGTCCCAAGCCAAACATAGACTCCCACGGGAATTCCTAGAGGCATGGTTCTCCACTCATACTTCATTCAACAAACATACAGAATTGGACCCCATACACAAACCCATACAGATCAAAACCGGAAATGACAGTACTCACCATGATGGTGAGTGCCATATAAATTCCAAGCAGAGTAGAACGACACCACTTCACCAGAGGCTCCACTGATGATGTCACCTAGCGTAGTGACGAAATGTCTGAGCAAAATCAAGCCAGCTTGGCAAGCAAATCAACAAACTCATTGATATGTTTTATGCTAAGAAATAAAATTTCTTTACATTTTCTTGACTTATCTTCCAAAGAAAATTCATTATCGAGGTAGTTAATTGAGATTGGAAGCTAACCTGTCTTCACTCTATAATGTAAATTTTGCATAGATGACATGTTTTCTATAAAATGGACAATTTGGAATAACTAAGGAATGTTCAGCGTTGCAGGAACTTATTTTGAAACATAGTTTCAGCAGATTGTATGTTTTGCTATGAAGATAACAGTGCTACTAAATATTTGAGTAATTCTGAGAACCTGTTTGTTTGGGTGTGTAACATTTTCTCTTTCTAACAAAAATCTTGAATTTTTAAAGTAATATCCACCTCTGAACAGATTTATTTACAGGATTTTAAGAATTGGTCTGTTTTTCCAAGGTATTTGATGCAGCTTTTCTCTTCAATCTTGAGGGTTATGATACTTACAGTAATAGTAATGTTTAACAATCTTTCAGGAACATGAAGTTGATAAAATGTTTACCCTGAAGGAAGGGCGTATACCTCCAGCTGAAGTCAAAAACATAATTTTCTTTGTGAGGCCTAGACTGGAATTAATGGACATTATTGCTGATAATATTCGTTGGTATGTGATCTTAAGTTTTAAACTGATTATCTTTTATTTAGAATTTTTCATATTGTTTCTCTGTCAGTTAGTGTAAGATGTTAAAATGAGTACTCTGCTCCAGATTGGTGGTCCGATCTCTCTGCAGCCAAGGACAAATGTTTAAACTGTTTTGGTTGTTTTCTGTCAGATTTGACAGTTAACTCTATAAGCCAGTCATTTCAAAATTTTTTGTTACATAAAGATATCAACAAATACCAGATAGCATGCATCCTGGCTGCTTTTTCAGTGCATTGTGCACCTCTCTAGGAGATGCTGCATCTGAAAGGAAAATATCTGTTTCTGCCCTTTTATCAAGTTGAATACTTTAGTCAGTTGTTGGAACTGCTGGCATATGAACTTTTTCCATTACTAGAAAAAAGACCTGGAAAATAATCACTTTGTCTGGTTTAAATACTGGTGTAATAGTGATTAAATTATTGTTACTGATGCTGCTGTAACTGAATGACCATCTTTTAGTTTCTAACTGAATACCCAAAGTTTTAGGGTAATCACTTATTCAATGATTGTAAGGTATGAAAACTAGAGAATAAGAGCTGAACTCATTTGCTGTGTTTAGAAAGATATCTGCACATATGTTTTAATATTAGAGATAGTAGAAACTGCCAATGCTGGAGAATCTGAGATAATAAGGTGTAGAGCTGGATGAACACAGCAGGCCGAGCAGGAAAGCTGACTTTTCGGGTCTGGACCCTTCTTCAGATTAGGCACACAACAGACTAAGTTTACATACTCTAAGCAATGATACGAGTACTGTATTTCAGCACCCTTTTTGATTTGAGCCTGGATTAAATATCCCTAGATGTAATTAATCTTTTTTTAAGGTAACTGGTAAGGCACAATCACTTGCCACAGGAAAATAAGAATATGAAACCAGAATGGTAGAAATGGGACTTGAAATTCAGCTTAGTTTGGCTCTGAATGGTGTGAAGTATTACCTGGAGGCATTAAATCTTAATTTTTTTTATTTTAGTGAACACAAACATCATGGTCCTCACAGAGATTTCCATATTCTGTTCCTGCCACGTCGAAGTCTCCTTTGTGAACAGCGACTAAAAGAACAAGGATTATTGGTCCACTTCACCCATATAGAGGAGTACAGCCTGGATTTGATTCCATTTGATAGTGATCTAATGTCCATGGAAGCTGAAAGTGCATTTAGGGTAATTGGTTATCACCTCCTTTCCGTTGCAATGTCTCAAGTTTTACCTTAAGTGTTGCACAAACAGATCTCTCTCAAAATGAACTTGTTGCAATTTAGGCTTTTTGTATTGTTTACTTCATTGGATAAACCAGTTATATGTTCCACAGTGTGTTCTGAATGGCTTCTGATTGCATCACGTGGTAATATATGCACTCTGTACAGTGGTCATTGCTATTGGGTTCAGTTGTGATGCCCATCAGGATGGAATTTAGCACTTGAACCTAATGTACAAAATTAGGTGCAAAAGTCAGGAGTCGAAGACCCAGATTTTGCAGTTAGTGCTGAAACTGGGTCATGAGCCACTGACTGTTCTGAGAAGTAGTTTGTTGAATGCAGTGTGATTTCACCTTCTTGCTGCAGCATGGTCTCCAGTTGAGACAACCAGCAAGGTATGTTCTGAGGTGAAGCTGTGCCCCCTAATGACTTTCAGCTGAAAACATGTTCCCTTAGGTCAGTCTTCAGCTCAAAAACAAGAAAGTATTATGATTTTAAATAATTTTAAACAGTTTGAAACTTTTAAATACTTCAACAAACTTTCACTGCCTCTGGGGTCATCTTGGACATATTGCTTTGATTTTGAACAATTGTTCTGGGTCCTCATTGAATCCTGTAACTTGAAATACATAAAACAATGAGAGAAAAGAATAAACAGTATTTCTGTTTAAAAAAAGACGCAAAGAACTGTGTATGTTGGAAATCAGAAAACACAAACAAAATCAGTTCTGAAAAAGGGTCACTGGACGTGAACTGTAAACTTTGCTTTCTGTCCACAAATGCTGCCAGACCTGCTGTTGGTCCAGCAATTTCTGTTCTTGTTTCCATAAAGTGAATTCTGCACCCCTCCCCACCCCCCCTCATGAGTAGCACACAAATCTATCTCCCTCTTTCTGGACTGGAACTGCACCTGAAACCATCTTCCCCACGTCCCCTTCACCAAATCCTCAACCATGTAGAAAAAGCAAAAACTAGGATTTATAATTCTTATTATACCACTAAGATACAGTGCTTTCAGAAAACAAGTACAACATTTGTAATCCTTCTACTTGAGATCTGCCAGGGACTTCACTGTCCAAGTTGTACGCTTTGATCCCAAATAGAAATTATTCTTCGTAATTATTTGTTAAACTGAGTAGAAAGTTTCCATAGTTATATCTCTAGAGCAACATGAACCAATTATTCCTTTTGGGAACTGAAAATGCAAAATGGTTTCTGAGAAATCAGCTCTCCCATGTTAAATAAACATCATTGCTACATTTGCTATGAATGGTTTAACATCTGAATTTTAAACTTCTGAGGTTTAAATACACTTACATGCTTTAAAAGTATACTGTTCTTTAAGAATGATTTTATTTTTATTTGACCACTACTTAAATATGGCAATATACTGAATATCAATACTTTATTTGCTTGTAGTTTTGAAGTTTGTCTTTCATGCAATAACTTTGCAATCATGATTAGAATTCATACTTGAAACCAACATGATTGAATAGGGTGTAAAAATTGTGCTAATTTCAACACTTTTTTTTTACAGAATATATTATTTATATCAGCCATTTTCTGATTATTCGTACAAAGCATTTATAATCACTCAAGCTGAATTTTACTGCCAAGTTACAATTTGCACTAATTTTTCAACAAAGGTAGACACTTTTCTTTCTTCCTTTAGTTCAGAAACACAGGGCACAAGAGGAGAAGAATTGGCTGAGCAGTGTCCAGAGCTCAAAGTAATGAGTACCTAGAAAACAGTGTCGGCAGAACACCATGAGTTAGTGCATGCATTCAGCATTTTATTGTTTCTTTAGAATTGTTAATGCAACCTAAACTAAACATTTAAACACTGGGGAATTGATAGTGTGGCAGGGTACTGTCCTCTTGATAGAAGCAGCTTTTGAAGGTCAAACAACAGTTCAAGATTAGAGCCCAATGTTTGACTCTTGAGAGTCTGCACCAGTATTTTTCCGTATGTCAGCAGTGCTGAACTTTTCAGTGTTCATCACTACTAAATCTCAAAATTTAGATTAATATAATTTCAAGAAAGATGTATAAACACACAAAATTATTTGCCCAGTGTTGCAGTTCCTTCTCGCTTTCAAAGTTTGCAATGGATTTTTCTTGTAGCAATTAAATTAGTAATTTGTTCTTTGAATTCTCCCATAATATATCCAAGGCTTCCAGTTTTACAATTTATTCCATCTTTGTAGCATTTTCCTGCTTGGTTTTCACTCTTATTTACAGCAGCTGGACAAGTGGATTTGTTTTCTAAATAAGCTAGAGCTTTACTGACAGTACAGTTAAGAAGTACAAAGGGCCAGCTGTTATATTAACCACTCATGCTGAAGTGTGATAAAGTTGCGCTTGACTTTAGCTGCTTATTGAACTACTTTTCCAATCGACCTGTTCAGAGATGTTATTATGCAGCTCAGAAGCAGGTGGGATTTGAACCCAGGCCTCCCAGTTCATGGGTAGGACCATTACCACTACTATGCCATAAGAAGGCCCCAGTTGCTGTTTTTAATAAGTTGCCTTTTGAGAGTTGATGAAATTTCTAATGTCTAGAATGTTAACCCTTTGTTAAAACTAAAGGCAGTGTACCTGATTGAGTAACCTGCCAACACTGTGTACACATACATGAATTAATAGTTGGTGGTGAGGTGTCAGAAGACCCATTGTGTTTACAGAATTATTTGTATCATGCATTACCATGCTAGGGAGAAGCAGGAGGGGAAAAACGATATTTTTATTTTGACTTTTTTTTTGGGAGAAGTGGAAAAACCTAGACACTAACTAGAGTTGGTGCATATTGCTCCAGGACCACTTCTTCTGATGATATCCTCAGATCTGCTATGATCCATGGATGAACAGAAACATGTACCATATCTGTCTTCAAGCTATATGGACAGTTAGTGTTCAGATTCAAAATCTACCATCCATGTCTTCCGAGCTTTCCTTGGGAACCTAATGTTCTCACATTGTCTTAGACATTTGATAATGTACATTTTAATAATTTGCAATGCGTACTACGCTAACATTTTACAATGTTTGGTGTATCGGTACATTTACAAATGGGACCACTTCTTTCCTTTTAATGTTAAAAAGTAAGTTTATAATGTTTCCAGGAGCCCAGTGAAACAGATGGACTCATGCACAAATAGCTAATCTGATTTATTGTTAAAATTCTTTGTGTAAAGCAAGGCTCTTAACATTTTTTTATATTTGCAAATAGGAGTGTTATCTAGAAAATGACCAGACCGTCTTATTCAATGTTGCCAAAGGACTGATGACTCTGCAAGCTTTGTATGGAACCATTCCACAGATATTTGGGAAGGGTGAATGTGCACGGGTACGTTCAAACTCTTTTGGATGGATAATTTCATGCTCTTTCTTGTCATAGAGTCACAGAGCACAGAAACAGACCCTTCAGTCCAACTTGTCCATGCCAACCAAGTTTCCCAAACTTAGTCCCATTTGCCTGCACTTGGTCCATATCTTTCTAAATCTTTCCTATTTGTGTACCTATCTAAATATCTCTTAAATGTTGTAACTGTAACTGCATTTACCACTTCCTCTGGCAGTTCATTCCACATACAAACCACCCTCTGTGTGGAAAAAGCTGCCTCTCGGGTCCCTTTTGAATATGACTGCTAAGGAAAGTACTGTTCATTCACAGGAATGAGAGAATGTATCTTGCAGTGAGACTTACGAAAGGTCCATTCATGAGTTTTCAGGAAACAGGCTTGGAGTTGGCTCTGAACAGATGTTCAGAAAGTTGTTGAAACACTGTACAGTGGAATTGTGTGTCAGGACCACGTGGAATCCCTGACACAACAGACCCTGTGGGAAATCAGAGAGTTCCAACTCAATTAAGCTTAATATTTACTCAGGAAAAGTTAGAGAAGTAAAAATCTACTCTTACTCTGTGGTAACTGTATTAAACTGAACCCACAACTTGCCTCTCCCAATTATGACTCCTCACAACAAGGCAGTGACCCTCTCAACCAGAACCCCAACCATTCACTCCCCACTACCAGTATGAGATCCCACCCTGACAGCCCCCAGAGCTGACATTCCTTCCGATCTGTCAAAATGCCCCGACCCTTGAGCTGGAGTGACATCTGCCAGCCTGACTTCTTTCTCACCACCATCCATCTCTTTCCCCCCCCACCCCGCCACCTTTAAGAAAAATAAAGCTCTGCTGAACCTGACTGCCAATTGAACCTAACCACACATTCATTTATGGGGCACCCCAGCATGTTATCCTACCTGGCACACTACCTCTCACTTGTGGGCTTTTCACTGGAGCTGTCAAAGTGTCTGGTTGTACAGCTGGACATCTAAGTCACAGGACACAGCAACTTACTGCTGCAAAAGTGGGCATGGTTTCTACAAAGATTTTCTTCACTGCTAGATTTGTGAATTCGTAAGTGGGTTTGTAACAGGTAACCCTTATCCAAGAATCTCCCGTGCTGGAGACATCTAAAGGTATATGGGTATATTTCTGACCCTGATCAGAATATCTAGGCCTATGTTCCTCCCAACAGCAGTCACCTTCCCTCTCTTTCCCAAGCTGCAGGCGGTCTGTTATTTGAAGCTTGCCCAATCTGCTGCAGTTGGTATTTCATAAAGTCCTGTTTCCACATGGTTTGTTGTTCCTGGTTTGCAACCTGCTGCCATTGGCTTTGACTGTCCCGTTTGAAATTTGTCTTTATTGTCATTTTGGAGACAAATGTGATCCCAATGGCTGGTAGTAAGCTGGGGAATCTGTTAAGGAAGGAAGGTGTGTAATATGAAGTTTTGGCTCAAACAGTCAGTTTCATTATTTTAACCCTTATTGTTTCTTCACAGCTTGTGGCAAATATGATACTAAGAATGAAGAGAGAATTTGCTGGGACGCAGAACCAGATTTTACCTGTGTTCGATAAACTCCTGTTACTTGACCGAAATGTTGACTTGTTAACGCCCCTGGCAACGCAACTGACCTATGAAGGACTTATTGATGAAATATATGAAATTCAAAATAGTAAGTTCTTAAAAAAAGACTGCAAATGCTCCTGCACTTATAATTGACAACTAATTAGCATTTCATTCCTCAGCTGTTGCAAAAGATTTAACAGATAATAGCATGTAAAGTATTTGGACTCCAAGTGTTTAAAAATTCTTGCATGCATCTTGCATCCTTAATAGACACTAAATTTCTGAAAATTGTGATGAAATTCACTGTTTGTATCCTTTTTGTACTGAACAAGATGGAAATCTATAACTGGCAATTGGAATTTATGGAGTATATAGTTCCAAGAGTTGCTTGTTTCAGTTTTGCCCAACAATGGGGAAGGATCTTATTGCAAAGCTTTCAATAGATCACTTCGAACAGTTTGGGGGAATTACTGAAGAGGAGTTCAAAGGATACATTTGTAGGAGAGAGGTGTAGACTCCACTAGAAGTGTTGCAGTTAGCAATGCTGCTGGGAAAACTGCTGAATTACACACAGATTTTGTGCAGGGGACTCGGTGAGGAGTCAGAGTGTTGGCTGGTTCTGTGCTGTTACTCGGGAAGATGTTTAAGGAACTGCTCTGGGGCTGTGTGTCCGAGTCAGGACTCTGATGACCTGAGGAGCTGAGAAAGTGGGAAGGTCACTGGCTGTGGTACAGATGAAGCAGTGAGGGATTCGGAAGCAATCTGTGAGTATTAATCTGTCAGTACAGCAGAAGAGGGGGCTGCTGAAATGTCCACAGCTAGTATTTGCTGTATACCACTTATCAAGGCTGGAGCTTGAGGGGGAAAAGCTCAAGTAGATTTAGCATGAGAGCTGAAGCTAAGTTTGTGAATGCATACTGGTGTGCTGTTTGTGTTCAGGGGAGCTTAGACCCAGTGAAGAAGGGTGATTGACCAGAACAAAGGCTCTTGCTGAGGCAGTCTGTGACAAAGCAGCTCTTGAACAAAGATTTCAAAGCCATATTGGCAAAAGTGAAGAATTCTGATCACTTTTGAAGTTTACTGAGAGTTGATGACCAACCATGTTGTTGAGGTTTTTAGGGAATTGCAAAGAAATCAATGGGGATCTGTCCTGATTGTGTATTTGTTATTTGATATGTGCTGTAGGGTGTTCAATCTGTTCCCCATAGTAACCACATATTAATTCTAGATGTTAGAAATAAGTTATCCACGTATGTAGGTTGTACAACTGTTCTAATAGTAAAATTTTTTTTTCAAAACCATGGAATTTTTATGGCTTTAGTGAGTCCCCTGAATCTCTCCGTTTTAAACTAAGCTACTGGCTCCCAGTAGGTCAGAACATAAATTTAGCAGTCTAGTCTAGGATCATAACAGTTTTTAGACAGAGGTGATATTTAATTTTGTTGTCACTCGATTTAATCAAACTTCATTGAACCTTAGTGAGTTTGCAGATGACACCAAAATTGGAGGTGTAGTGGACAGCGAAGAAATTTTTCTCAGAATGGCCAATGGCCCAATAGCTCGGGGTGGCTGATGGAGTTTAATTTAGATAAATGAGGTGCTCCATTTTGGAAAGACAAATCAGGGTAGACCTTGCACACTTAATGGTAAGGTCCTGGGGAGTGATGCTGAACAAAGAGACCTTGGGGTGCAAGTTCATAGTTCCTTGAAAGTGGAGTCGCAGGTAGACAGGATAGTGAAGAAGGCATTTGGTATGCTTGCCTTTATTGGTCAGTGCATTGAATATAGGAGTTGGGAGGCCATGTTGTGGCTGTAGGGTGTTCAATCTGTTCCCCATTGGTTAGGCCACCATTGGAATACTGCATTTAATTCTGGTCTCCCTGCTATAGGAAGGATGTTGTGAAACTTGAAAGGGATCCAAAAAGATTTACAAGAACGTTGCCAGGGTTGGAGGCTTTGAGCTAAAGCGACAGGCTGAATAGGCTGGGGCTACTTTCCGTAGAGTGTCAGAGGCTGAGAAGTGACCTTATTGAGGCTTTTAATATCGTGAGGGGCATGGATAGGGTAAATAGACAAGGCCTGTGCCCTGGCATGGAGGAGTCCAAAACTAGAGGGCATAGATTTCATGTAAGGGGGAAAAAGAGAGGGGCAACATTTTCACACAGAGGGTGGGGTGGGATGTGTATGGAATGAGCTACCAGAGGAAGTGGTGGAGGCTGGTACCATTACAACATTTAAAAAGTATCTGGACTGCTTGTGAATAGGAAGGGTTTCGAGGGATATGGGCCAAATGCTGGCAAATGGGACTAGATTAATTTAGGATATCTAGTCAGCATGGATGACTTGGACCAAAGGGTATGTTTCTGTGCTGTATATCTCTGTGACTCTATGACTGTAGAATCTTGCAAGCCCACATTCTGGTTGAAGATATTCTGTTGACTCTGGGATAAATTCACTGCAAAGTGTTGCTGAGCCATTGAGACAAAGAATGTTCCAGATTCAGTCATTGAGTTAACTTGTCATATCCGGTGTTAACAAGGATACAATGAACCTTCTTATCTCTAAATAAACACGGGTTCCTGCTCTTTGCAGTTAGTTGAGCAATTCTTGCAAGCGATGTGTGGATGACACTGCAGTTGGAACTGGTGCTATTTCGACCCTAAGTGAATAGCCTGCTGATGCTCACTGTTTAGACTCTCTCATAATGAATGACCACAGTCAAGTTACAGGAATTGAAAACTTTTGCAAGCTCCCCTGCTACTTCGTCGCTTGCCTCACTCAACAACACGGGATACATTTCATCCAATCCTGGAGATTTGTCAACTTTTAAGCCCACCCTGAATCAATCTTGGCAGTAGTACAGAATAATCTATTATTACTCAGTTAGAAAGGCTTTAAGCTTCAACAAATCAGAAATGCTGCTTGTGTTCAAACACCAGAATACCTCTGTTCTTCTCTCCACAGAGTCTGTCTGTCTCCACAGCTGGTGAGTTTCCCCAGCACTTCGATTTTATTTCAGATCTCCAGCATATGTAGTTCTTTGTTTTAAAACCAAAATAAATACATTCTGAAAAACACTCCCTAATAGAATACTTTGATCATTCAAGTACATTCAAATGAAGAAACCTCCAAGAGGAAATTAGTGTGATTTGGAACTTTTTGAGTTTCTGCGACCTATTCTGATCCATGGATGGAAGTAAGTTGTTTAGAGATCCTGGAGATATTTTGTTACGATGTTCACTTAAGTGCACCTTGTCTCCAGTAGAGCAGAATAAATCCAACTATTGATTGCAAATAACTATGACTGTTCAAAGATGACATTCTTTCCAGTAGCTTGTTTTGCTGTGTTAGGTGCAATACGATGTGTTCAGTCAGTGAGACAAAAATTTTGTTCTCAACAAGCAATTCAACAAATTACTACCTCCCATCAGCACTTTTGGCCTTAAGCTATGTCCTTGAATGATGTTAATGGAGGCTCAGGGATGGAAATGCAAGATGTCACTGACAAGTTCTGCTCAAATGAAAATATCCAGTTATGTAATTATCACCCACTTTGTTTTGCCTAATGGAAAATATCTAGATTTTATTTTCAATGCAAAAACTAGCCTATTTAAAAACAGAAATGGTTCAATCTGTGTGACATGATATGATCCCTTGTTCTTTATAATGTTGTGTGTAGATCTGTTTGTCATCATTCATTGTTTGTTGTGATGAAGTGCCCCTTACAATTCTGGCAAAATATCAGTTTACTGTGGAATGTTTTTATATATGCCTGGACAATTTAATTTATATTTCTTCTGTGCTTTATTAATATGTAATTAATGCTTTTTAAAAACAGATTTCTTGGTTAAAATGGATAAAACTTCATTGATATGTGCAGAGATGTACAATAACAACTTGCATTTTGTATAACATTTTTGCTGTTGTGAAACATTTCAAAAGATTTCACATCAAACTACATAGTATATATTAGTCAGAAGTATATCATGGTCAGAAGAGAAGGTTTTAAGGAGATATATAGAGAGATTTAGAGTGGGAATCTAGACAACTGAAGGGACATCTGTTGTTGAAGTGATTAACAGTGGGAATGGGCAAGATGCCAGAAGTACAGGAGTGCAGAGATCTTGGAAGCTTGAAGGATTGGTGGAGACTACAGAAATAGGAAGGAGTGAGGCCATGGACTTTTAATGGTCTCAACTTCAATTCAAACAAGGATGAAAATTTTTAATTTGTCACAGACTGGTATTCAATTTAGATTAACAAGCATGTGAGATGATCTATGAATGATCTTAGTGTGAAGTAAAATATGGGTAGTGAAGTTTAAGATGAGCTGCAGTTAATGTAGAGTAGAAAATGGGAAACTGGCTGAGCAAGTGTTGGAATAATCATATTAGAGTTTGAAAAGGTGTGGATGAAGATCCCAGCAGCTAGTAAACTGAAACAAAGGAGTGTCAAGAAATGTTATGGAGGTGGAAATTGATGGCCTTGGTGATGGCTTGTTTACGTTGTTGAAAACTCATCTCATGGTCCAATTAACAACAAGATTCAAATGGTCTGGTTCAGTATCTCCCACTACTATGTGTGCTCTCCAACTATTGTTTCTTGAATAGGTCTGAGAGTCCTCATTTTGCACTCTTCCCATCCTTACTCTAACCCAAATTAGTCAGTTGTCTTTTAAAAATGCAGAAATGTGGAATTGCACTTGACAAAGATGTATCATTTTCATGCTGCTTAGGTTTGAGTTTGTAATCATTCTGTTTTTCAGCGCATGTAAAGCTGCCTCCTGAGAAATTTGCACCTAAAAAGCAAACTGAAAGTGGCCGAGATCTTTCCAATGAACCTAAGAAGCTACAGTTAAACTCTGCTGAAGAACTCTATGCAGAAATCAGGGATAAAAATTTCAATGCAGTTGGTTCAGTCCTCAGTAAAAAAGCCAAGTTCATATCTGCTGCATTTGAGGTAATTCTTTCTTCAGACTGAAATTGGCTGTCTGTTCAGGGGTATAGATTGTGTTTCCAAAACAGTTAGGTGAAACATATCTGCAGGTCAGAGCAGTTAGCTTGGTTGGCTAAATGGCTAATTTACACTGCTGAGTGATGCCAATAGTGTGTTCAATTTGCACACTAACCTATGATATCATGAAGGACACTCCTTCTCAGCCACTTCCTCTGGTGGTGACCCTCAGGTTAAACCATGGCCAGTCATCTGTCTCCAGTAAGAAAGCAGCCTTGTGGTCTGTTAAGACTATGGTGACTTTACCTTTTTATAATCACTGAGGCCTCTTCTGGAGTACTGTGTGCAGTCCTAGTTGCCCTGTTATAGGAAGGACATTTCTGAACTGTCTCCAGTTTACTAAAGAATTACCAGGATGTTGCTGGGATTGGAGGGTTTGAGTTATAAAAATAGGCTCGGGTTTTTTCACTGCATTGTATGTTGTTGAGGGGTGACCTTTATAGAAGTTTATAAAATCAAGAGGGCTGTAGATAAAATGAATAGCAAAAGTCTTTTCCCTAAAGTGGGGGAGTTTGAAGCTACAGGGCATATTTTTAAGGTGAGAGGAATAAGATTTTAAAAGGCATGTGAGAGGCAACTTTTTATACACAGAGTGCTTAGTGGTGGAATGAATCGCCAGAGGAAGTGGTGGATGCAGGTAGAATTACAATGTTTAAAAGACACTTGGAGAAGTGCATGAAAGGTTTGGAGGGATGTGGGCCATATGCAGGCGGGTGGGACTAGTTTAGTTTGGGAACATGTTGGCATGGGTCTGTTTCCATGCTGTATGATTTTTTGACTGGAAAGGAATATGACAATTAGCTGACCTTTTTTTATAATTAAAATTTAGAAACTTGCCTGGGCAAAAATAGATTCATTCAAAAGTTTTTTCAAAAACTTTTGGTTTGTTAATTGTCAATAAATTATATACGTTTTATATATTGGAGGTGCATGTGTATGGACATAATGTATACAAATTTTATGTATATTTCAATTAAGTACCCTCATATCTGATTTTAAATGGATATTGAATGTGGCATTAGGAACTGAAAAAAAAATCCATTACATTTCTAACACCAGAAGTTACACCTCCACAATTTTTAAGTGTTCATTAACACCTCCGTGTTCGGACTTGCCCAATTTCTTCAATCTACCAATGTTTCCATTGTGAGAACAGTCAGCTAGATGCATGTTATTTAAAATTCATAAAGGAGCTAATATTGCAATTGGTTTTATAAACAAGAACATGGTGTATAATTTTTAGTCTGCAATTTGTCACTTAAGTAGACTAAAAGTATAATGCTTCCTTTGTTCAGTATCAGGAATCACAAGGTGCAGCCAGGAACTATAATGAAGACTACCAATACCTCTCAGATTTGATTCTGCTACAAATCAGAAATCAGGACAGACGTGAGAGCTGTGGACATATTTTCTGTACATGTAAAATCAAACTATTTGGCTGTTTAAAACATTGTGGAATATTTTTGCTAATGTTAATTGGTAAATTACAGTTTTGCCAATTCCTTTTGGTATTGGGACAGAGCCAAGTGCCATCCAGAAACTTGGTTGTAATTTTCTTGTACAGTAAATTTCAATCTAATATATGCTTTTAAGAAGATTATACACATGGACAGGCAGAGAGACCACCGAAGATAGATGGTCTTAAATGATTATTACATTAGTGATAGAGGCACACTCACAAAGAAGAGGTAGCTTTCTTGGAAGGAATGGCGTAGTATGAGAAAAACAATAAATACACAAATAGAGGAAATCTGTATTTATACTAAGTACAGATGTTTGTTTTCATTTGAAATAGTTGTCTCAGATTTAGTTCATAATTATTAAAGCCAGAACCATTTCTTGCAGGAAAGACATAATGCAAAAACTGTGGGTGAAATCAAACAGTTTGTGTCCCAGCTTCCACACATGCAAGCAGCAAGAACCTCGCTAGCTAATCATACATCTATTGCTGAACTCATCAAAGACATTACAGGTAAAGCTCTGAAATACTTCTTTATATAAAAGTATAACATTCAAATTCCCCATCTCCTCCTTGCTTCTAGATAGCAGTGGTTTTGAAAGGATGAGAAATGGGAGCAGGAATAGGCTCTGCAGCCCCTCAGGCCTGCTCTGCCATTCAGTCGGATCATGGTTGATTTTCAACTTCGACCACTTGTTCCCAAAGAATCCATTATCCCCCTTGATTTCCTTAGATTCCTGAACTTATTGATTTCATTCCTGAATATAAAAGTATTGAAATACCTAATCAAATGAACTAAATTATAAATCAGCCTTGCTAAGAGTAGGTGTCTTTTAATTGCTATAATTGTTTACATTCAGCATCAGAAACATTCTTTGACAAGCTGACTGTGGAACAAGAATTTATGTCTGGGATTGATACTGACAAGGTAATAACAAAACCATAGTTCTTTTTGAAATTATTAACACTCTCTTCTTTCACTTGTAACAAGTAGCTGTATTAGCCAACTGCCATTTCATTTATTCTTTAATTTAAATCTATAATTAATTATAATGAAGGGGAAGTGATGGTCTAGTGGTATTATCGCTGGACTGTTAATCCCGAGACCCAAGTAATGTTCTGGGGGCCTGGATTCTAATCCTGCCACGGCAGATGGTGGAATTTGAATTCAATAAAAGTCTGGAATTAAGACTCTAATGATGACCATGAAACCATTGTTCATTGTTGGAAAAACCCATCTAGTTCACTAATGTCCTTTCGGAAAGGAAGCTGCCATCCTTACTTGGTTTGGCCTCTGTGTGACTCCAAACCCACAGCAATGTGATTGACTCTTAACTGCCTACTGGGCAATTAGGGATGGGCAATAAATGATGGCCAAGCCAGCATCACACTCATCCTGTGAGTGAATTTTAAAGAAGTCCTGTACCATTCATGTTTTTAGTTCGACTATTGACTAGAAGACAGACTATATTATTTAAAACATAGGAGTAAAAGTCTTTGTGATATTTTGGAACATTTAGCACTGAAGTAATTTAAATACAGTATCAATAAGCGTGCAGAAATTTATCTGAATTATTCTCATGAGTTATATGTTGGGATGGTAAAATTTAATGTTTTATTTTTGATTTGCAGGTAGTCAGAAAGGTATTGTTAAAAATGGACCCTGGTAATTCTATAATGGTGGTAAATTGAGAGCCTTCAGTGGCTATTTGGTTAGAAATAGTGAAGTTGATTGCAATTTTTAGCTTCTAGCCAACTGACAGTCAACTAATGTGATAATCATAGTTGACTTGAGTTTGCGCAAGTGGAACTGCTTCAAGGAAATGTTGCTTTTCTGTTCACAGGTTAACAGCTACATTGAAGATTCCATTGCTCAAAAAGAACCTCTGATAAATATTCTGCGACTTGTTTGTATGCAGTCAGTATGTAATAATGGCCTGAAACAGAAAGTCCTAGACTATTACAAGAGAGAGATTTTACAGGTTGGACAAAAGTAATTAATCTACTACTTGTAGTTTGTTTAGGTAAAGACTGCTGAAATTTCAGAGTCACTTGATTTCATTCACAGTATAATTGAATTTTTAAATTTATTTTTAAATTTCTTTTAGGCACATGTGATAATTATTGCAAATCCAAATTGCATATTGGACTGAAAGTATAAGTTCCCACGTTATAAATAACTTTAGCTATTTAATTTGATTTATCATAAATGGATGCTGGTACAGTAACAATTATAACTACAATGTTTAGAAAATTGCTGAGTTCGCCAATATATTTGATCATTACAATTAATGGCTTCTTTGAAAACCCACAGCTGGTTAGCCTTTCAGCAACAATGCAGTTTGCTTGGTTAACCTATGCTGCCAAGATCCAAAGTTTGTAAAATTCATATGTGAACGTAATGGGTTGATGTGTTACAGGACAAATTGAAAGTCAATTTTGAGAGTTTCAGATTGGGACAATCTGGGATACCATATTGTCCTGATAATTCTCTTGGGTAGAACAAAGCCATGTATTGATAGGTCAAAAATTTCAGGCTGTGCTCAATTTTATGTACTATAAGATGTATTTATTTTACTTCAGTGTTAAGTTGCAGTTACAGCACTTAACCCTGAAAATAATTTACTGTAACCAAAATCACACCACATTTGGAATCAGAGGAAACTGTTAATTAGTCTAACAATGTTATTACATCAGTCCTTTGTCTTTAAAGAATGCTGTCTCACCACTGTCATGAAACTAAATGATTGAAACAAGTAAAACAAAGATATTTGAAAAGTTGTGGATCAAAAGACCTTCAAATTAAAGACGGATCTTTCACAATACATAAGCATCTTCAACAGCTCAGTAATCAATATTAGTTCTATCACCACAGTTAGACTGGAGATGAAAATCAACTTGAGTTTATTACATTAGCTTGAAGATACAGGCTATGGAATTGTTTGGTTTGGGAAAACTACGCTCTTTGCAAAACATTCATGCATCAAAATGTCACAGAGACCAAAGAATTTCTGTTCTGTTGACTAATGCCACAGATTGGAATTATAGATGGATTATAAATGATCACTTCCTTCATAGAAGGAATAGAAAATAAATCTAGAACTAGTTTTAACAAATGCAGAGAAATGGAGCAATCAATCCAATTTCTCAGTGCTGGTGTTTATTCTCCTATTTCTAACAAGTCCCTTGGCAAAGATATTTGTCCCTTTTGCTGTTCTGGTTTTATTACTAACTGTCTTTTATTTATGGTCTTTCATTTGTGGAAGAATACAAATTTAAAAGCATTCTCTCCTCATGGGTCTGTTTCCGTGGTGCATGACTCTTTTGGTCCAACTCGTCCATGCTGACCATAATTCCAAACTAAACTAGCCCCACTTGTCTTGGCCTATAGCCCTCCAAGCATTTCCGATTCAAGTACTTGCCTAAATGTCTTTTAAACATTGTAACTATACCCACATCCACCACTTCCTCTGGAAGTTCATTCCACCACATGAACCACTCTCTGTTTTTTTTAAAAAAAAGGTTCTCTCTCTCATTACTTTTAAATCTTTCTTCTCTCACTTTAAAAGAATGCCCCTTAGTTTCAAACTCCATCATCCTGGGGAAAAGACCTTTGCTATTCACCTTATCTATGCCTGTCATGATTTTATAAACGTCCTGTAAGATCATCCCTGGAACTCCTATGCTGCATTCCCGGTAGCACCCTGGTAAATCTCTTCTGAACATATCTCTTCACATCTGCCCTGTAACCCATTCATAATTTTAAAGACCTCTGATCAGGTCTCCTTGTTTTCTCTAAAGGAAAGAGCTTGAGTCTATAAAGTTGTAACTTTTAGGTGCCACTCTTTAATTTTTATTCTCTTCCTCCAGTGCTTTTATAAATTATTTTAAAGAAAATACATTGTATTTTTGAATAAACAGACTACTCTGGCGTATTTGGTAGGTAAAACTTGATTTTCTGCAGAAGAGCCTTTAATTTGCCCCAAATTTTATAGATGTGGAAACATTGCAAAAATAAATTGTCGACCATAGAGATCACCCCTTTCTTTAAAATGATGAATGACTCCAGATTATTTGTATTCACCAGTTTGGGGTTTTGTTGACAAAAGCTGAATAATGTAAAGTTATCCTATCAATTGGATATCAGCAGGTAGCCTATAAAGCAAGAGAGAAAAACATAATCTTAATTTGAAAGAATGCAGGTATATTTCTCAACCACCACCTTCATATTTCCCATGCATAATCAGAACAAGTACATTTCTGTAGCCAGAAACTTTTTTTGTGGAGCCTGTATGGCTGGTTTAAAGGTAATAATTACTTTCTCAAATTCACCCGTGCTTTTCAGCCTTTCATTCTCTCCTTTAAATATGATAATTTGGACCAATGGCTCAGCAGCAGTGTTCCTGATTTTCCATTTAAAATGAACTGAGTAACTTAGTCTGAGAATTATCTGGTGATGTTGCCAAAATTAGCTGCGATAGGTGTCAATGATTTAATTTTCAAGGTCCACCCACTTTCTGCTGACATACACCTTGCTTCCACCAGGATTATGGTCATAAACTGTAAGCCCTTCCTCTGGAGTTCCTTTGATCAGACTTGACCTTCATCCTAATGTGCCATTGTTGAGGAACAGAAGCATCATTAGCTGCAACAAAAGACTGTGTGATCACATTTCAAGGGAATGCAGTACAAATTATACTGCCACCATTTTTCTTTCTCCTCCCAACCCTCCCCACCCACACCATCACAAAGGAATGTACAAATCCAAAGAGGATCTAACTGAGAAAATGTGTACAGTTGCACTTCAAAGGGGCAATAAAGCGTGATGATTGTAAGTGCTGCTCCTTGGCAATGAAGTTATAAACTACACTCTTTTTTTTAATATAATTTCTTCAATCACATTTTCATGGCCAATGTTAGATGAATGAACCAGGCTGCAGTACAGTCATGTCATTTCCAATGATAAGAGACTGATAACCCTTCTGAAAACTCCTTGGCTTTCTTCTCAAAGGATGAGTTACTTTTAGATTACTCCACTAGCTGGTCAATTGTGGGTATGGGGAATTGGTTAGCTCTTTCAGCTGCTTTGTAATGCAGAGTGACACCGGTAGTGCGGGTTCAATTCCTGCACCGGCTGAGTTTACCACGAAGATCCAGCCTTCTCAACTTCCCCCTCTCCTCAGATTAAGCTCACCACCAGTCACATCTTTCTAATGAGAGAGCAGCTGTATGGTCCTCTGGGACTATGCCGACTTTACTCTGTGGAGGGCACTGTCCTGCATAATCTTTTCTATCAGAATGGGAGGAAAGTTAGAATTTGAATAAGTGTGTGACACGATATAGGAGGAGTGAAGTAAGTATTGTATCAATATTAATCTTAAAGTGGAGGCAGGAGTTTTAGAGTCGTGCTTGCTTGTAATTTGTATTAAAGGAGTTGGCTAATTATAATGCAAGATATCAAGTGTCAAAGGTACTTAAGGGCAACTGGCAACGAATGCTGGTCCAACTGGTGATGCCCACATCATTTGGAAGATAATAAAAGGCACACTCCCTGCGCCCTGAGCCTGACACTGCCAAAGCAATACTGAATTGTAAAGCATTAACTAGTTTTGTGTGTCTTTTTAAGTGTATGCTGGTACACTAAAAGAAAGTAGTGACCGTTGAATGTTACTTTCCTGTTCTTGCTGAAATCATTGAACTTGGGTTTCTGATCTGTAGCCCTTAGTTTTGAGGGGGTTTACCATTGCAAATCAGTGCTGTGGTCATGCAGGTGATACAAATGCTGTTTCTGGCAGTTCATTATTTTTGTGGTTTTGTTTCCTCCCGGTAATCCTCAAAGGTTGGAATTTGTAAAAGTGTTGGTGAGGGACGTCTTACTGCAACTATACCAGGTGCCGGTGAGACCACATCTGGAGTAAAGTGAGCAGTTTTGGTTCTCTCATCTAAGGAAAGTTGATATTTCATTGGAGGCAGTTCAGAGAACGTTCACTAGGATGGCCTCCGGTGTGGAGGGATTGTCTTACGAGCAAAAGCTAAACAGGTTAGGACTTTACTCATTGGAGTTTAGAGACACACAGGATCTTTAAGGGGCTTGACAAGGTAAATGCTGAGAGGATGTTTCCCTCATGGGTGTCTGGGACTAGGGGACATGGTCTCAGAATGAAAGGGTGCCATTTAAGACACAGATGAGGAGGACCTTTTGAAGGTTGCGTGTTGCTGGAACTCCCTGCCACAGGCTATTGGACAGTGTCCAAAGCTGAGAGAGATTCTTGATCAGTAGGGGAATCAAGGGTTATGTAGAAAAGGCAGGGAAGTGGGTATGATTAGCCATGATCCTGTAGGGTAGCATGGTGGCACAGTGGTTAGCACTGCTGCCTCACAGCGCCAGGGACCTGGGTTCGATTCCACCCTCCGGCGACTGTCTGCGTGGGTTTCTGCCGGGTGCTCCGGTTTTCTCCCAAAGTCCAAAGATGTGCAGGGTAGATGGATTGGCCATGCTAAATTGCCTGTATTGTTCAGGGATGTGTAGATTAGGTGGGTCATAGGGGGATGGGTCTGAGGGTTGGTGTGGACTTGTTCGGCCAAAGGGCCTGTTTCCACACTGTAGGGATTCTATGATTTCTCCATCCTTGTATTCAAGGTTGTGCTGTCTTAATTGGGTGTTGGATCCAATGGTTCCTCCTGCCGACATTAACAAAAAGTATAATGTAGAGTGAAAATAACCACAGGTTAGTGAGTGACCCAATCACCACTACTCAATTTATCTGTTGTTAAATACTGCTGCATTCTTTCAGCCAGAATTGCTTATTAATAAACTAGTCATATTTTTGTGCCCCAGCAGACAGCACCATTTATGCCACCATTGAGTGCACATCTCTTTCCACCAACCTAACAGTGGCACAAGATGCTGCGGGAGAAATCATTACTTAGAAGTGTAAAACATTTAAACATGCTGTTATAAGTTTTTATTTATTGCTGGTGTGCACCAAGTACAGTTTTGGGATATAAACATTTGAAATTTTGCAGTTTTGATTCAAACAAGGGACGTTAGTAATGCAAAGAAACAAAGAAAAAATTAATGTGTTGTGTCTTATATTTCAGACATATGGTTATGAGCACATTTTAACCCTAAATAACCTAGAAAAGGCTGGGTTACTGAAACCTCAGACTAGCACCAGGAATAATTATCCAACTATAAGAAAAACACTGCGTCTTTGGATGGATGACGTCAATGAACAGGTTAGTTGTTTGAGTCCTCCTTTAATGTGAATAACAAATGTTAACTTAAATGGGTTAAAAATAAGAATCTTAACATTTAATATACTGCTTTGTTTTTGAATAAATTGAAATTATCCATGCTGTAACACTGATGAAGGGTAAGTCCTTTATTTTTCACAGAATTCTTAGTATCCGAATGAGTCTATAGAGGAAACCACCCAGATCATATGCGTGGAAATGAGATTGCTTTATTTGCTTCAACAGGCAAATCAATATGTAAAATTCTGATATACTGTGCTATCATGTGAAACATTCAACAGCTTTTTGTTTCATTCTTAATAAAGAGGCCTATATTTAACAATTAAACACATTTTGTACTAGCAGATTAATTGGTGCAAATTTGCAACATACTTCCTGTAGGCTTGGTGAGCAATAATATTACTTCCCATTGTTGGTCTCTGCCAATCTTTTTACTCCAGACTTCTCTTAAATTGCTTAAGCTCATCAGATGCATCAGGATGGAAATACAGGATGGTATATCATTCATGGGAGTGACTGATATAACGTTCTGTAGCGTTATCCATGAATGGCCGACTTGTATAATGGACTGGGAACTGGTCATGTTTCTGGAAGTAGTGATGGTTATTGCTTAATTGTCATATGACCTGCTAATATTCAATAAAGCATGCAAATGTTTACTGGATATTGAGGTTTCTGACATGTGGGATCTATTCTTATAACCAGTTTCCTTGTCTAATTTGGGTTTTAATTGTTGCAACAAAGTTTAATAGACTTCAGCTGGCTTCTTAAATAGGGATACGTTTTCTTCAACCGGTAATTCAAGAAGAGGCAAGCATGTTTTTACAAGTTTTTTTCCAATTTCCTTGTTGGCTAAGTGTTTGATCAAACAAATCACAGTTATGTTCACTTGAAATCATTTATTATAATTTTATTGTAAAAATGTAGTTACATTATTTGAAAATTGTCTGGCAGTAGGAATTAAATATATTTTCATGCCTGAGTTTAAACATCCTTAAAATGCTCATTAAAAGGTATGATGTAATTTTGTTTTAATATTACAGAATCCCAATGATATCTCTTACGTGTACAGTGGTTATGCCCCTCTGAGTGTGCGGTTAACACAGTTGCTGGCTCGTCCTGGGTGGAGGAGCATTGAAGAAGTCTTAAAGATGTTGCCAGGACCTCATTTTGAAGAAAGGCAGCAACTGCCTTCTGGATTGCACAAAAAACGTAAGCTTGCAACAACTTTTATTGCAGTAATTCCTCTAACCCAAATGCCCCCAACACAGTTAAGAGCTATCAAAACAAATATATCACTGAACCACCTAGGCAAAGCTTAGGACAAATGACCAAAAGCTTGGTCAAAAAGACAAGCTTTTGAACTTGGGACTATGAAAGCTGAAGACATGGCCATCAATCATGAGGTTAAAATAAGTGATGCTCGGGAAGCTGCAAATGGAGCATTACAGATATCTAGGAGAATCAGATGGTTGCAGCAGATTAGAGGTAGGGTGAGATTGTAGAGGAATTTGTAAACAAGGATTTCAAAATTGATGTGTTGCTTAACCAAATTATGTTGATAAACAGGTTTTGATGCTTGCAGAGGACTCAGTGTGAGTAAGGATGTGGCTGGCAAAACATTGAATGACCTCCAGTTTACAGAGGAAAAGGTGGGAGGCCAGCAGGATTGCATCAGAATAGTTAAGTCTAGAGTTAACTAAGGTATTGACGAAGGGAGGAAATATAGAAATAGTTTATTAATACAATGACTGAAATGTTTTTGGGAATGTGTTTATACTAAACATCATCATTGTAAAGAAGATTTTTATTATTTCACACTGACAAAGAACAGGTCTGGATAGTTACATATTTTGGTCGATACTGCTACAGAAATGATGGGGCTGCAGCTGCCAGAACTCTGTTCCAGAAATGGATTTATCACACTAATCTATAATCACAACATAAATACAGAAACCCTTCTTATTTCATATTTCAGGACTATTCTATCCAATTCAGGGAAGTGAAAGTATCAAAATGGTTATCTAGAAATGTCATAACATGCAGTTGTCCCTTTCTTGGTTTCGTGTATCTTCCTACTGTGTGCAAAAACTATGGTTATAGAAATGAATTACAAAAATAAATTTATTGCAGCAATTCACTATTTGCGAAAACATTCACAACATATACAAAAGGAAGAATTTCAAAAATAGAATGTTCTGTAATGTGGTTTTGTTCCTAGGAGGTACATTTTCCATTGTAATTTTGAATAATTCCTTTGTGAGTGGGAATAGGATAAATAGGAAGTCATTATCTGGAACCTGCTTTGAGGAGCAGGCTAAGAAACTAATGAAGAATGAAATTTATATTTTTCAGAAAGCCGCAGAGCTTCTAATCTGTATCTTTTCTTCCTTTAGGTCAACAGGGAGAGAACAGAGTTACTCTAGTGTTCTTTCTTGGAGGTGTGACATATGCTGAAATTGCAGCGCTTAGATTCTTATCTCAGATGGAAGAAGGAGGTACAGAATACATTATTGCGACCACAAAACTGATAAATGGAAAAAGCTGGATTAAATCTATGATGGATAAGTTAGAGCCATCTCTGTTCTGAAAAGACAATGTGATTGACAGTATTCATCGGATGAGGTTTTTTTGTTTATGGATCCCAGGTGTGTTTGGAAAATGTGAGACTGGTGTAATGTGTTTCAGCTGAGAAACTGAATTGAGCACAGCATGGGACACCAGACAAAATTGTAATGTGGTCTTGGTTGATATTCAGCTGCACTGGCTGTTCTGAGCCGTGTTTTCCGTCCTTTGGTGGAGTAGCACATGAAACCAGAACACTTGGGAATTCATTGTGCTTCAGGAATCACATGTCAACAGCCTGAAACAAGTTTCTATGTTGGCAGAATTTGATCATTTGTGCCACTGGATTTAATTTGCATACAGACATTGCACAAATCTAAGCACTTTGGTGCCCTTGAAATCTGAAGCGGTTTCTTACACGCCAGAATATGTAATGCATGTTTATGGTACATGCAAGGTAAATTTAAATAATGTACCCTGTGTTAAGTCAAGTGCTTGCTGCAACAATGTAGGAACTTAGAGCGAGGGAGGAAGTGTCAACAAATGTGCATTTATTTGAGCTTGCTTACTAAATGTTATGCTTTGAAGCTTTGTTCATACTGGTAGAGTCCATAATTGAAATTTCATTAATCTCCTGTTCTGATCTCTGTTGTCACATCTAAAAGAATCTTAAAGCTTTGTCATCCCGTGAGGGTAAAATTAAATCTCAAAACTCTGACCTTTTCAATTTTATTTGTTACGTACTGTTCTGTTTATTGCATGGTTTGCATAGTTTCAGAAAATATTGTATCGTATCTATATTCCATATTCTGTATATGTGAAATGATTTGTTAAAAATGTAGCATTTTTATTTGAATAGAATGATTGGGCTTTATACTTTTTAATTGCTGTAAATCAGTTTAGAACATTTCATCTATACTACAGAAAAGAAGAATTGTTTAGGAAGTTTAAGTCACATGTGAAATGTTCCTTTATTCAGAAAACAATTAGCAAAATGCATGCAGTGATTTCTCCCATTCAAATACTGTTTTTCTCAGTAAGGAGGAATGAACAGTAATGATTTGAGTAATATGAGTGAAGTAACTTGTATTATGGGGTGGTACATATTATGAACCAGACAAAATTCCCTCAAAATATATCGAAAAGACAGCCCAGACCATAACTATTTTTTCTTATTTTGAAGGTAAATGTAAAGCACCGTGTTCTAGATGCAATTTGATTGGTCATCTACTTGACTTTAAGCAAAACACACTTTTTACACTACAGTTAAAATAAACAAAATAAAAGTAAAAGATGGGCTTATATGTAAGTTTGCTGAAATACTTGACAAAAGAATATATTAACTACTACTAATTAACTGTTCCACTATGGTAACATCCTATAAACACACCCTTGGCAAAGGCAAATTCAGTAAAATAGATTGTATCACATGCATTTCTAACATTAGGAAAAGAACCCCAGCTTTTAGATGTAAAGGAGAGAGGAATAAGAGCTTCCACGTCCAGCTTCAAGACCCCAGCAACTGCTGCTAAAAACTAAAACTAAAACTCTTGGTTCTGCGGGAGCTTGACTTCATCCATTCAGGCTGCTTCTATTGTTCCAACTTTAAAAAAACACAAGCCTCACAAGCTGTTTACTTTATTGGCTTTGAGCATACCGCTTGTCACTTCTTCTGTCTCAACCTTTATTTTTTTTAAAAAATGGACAAAATGCCCTTTTTAAGGTCATAGTATCATCAAATGGAAGATTGAGCTTTACCAAACAATCGCTATCTCATTCCTTTATTGTGCTGCTTGAGAATAGGCTGGTTATCTGGTTACTATCATAATATTCTAAGTTCAAAAAAATTTCATAGAAACTGGCCATTTGGCCAATCAAGTGTATGGCAGCATTTTTCTCCACTTAATTTGCCGAGGCAATTTATTGCCAATGCCCAGTTGCCTGGAAGGGATTAGAAATCAACCGCAATAATTCAGTCAGTTACAAATGGTAGGATCCTTCACTTGGAGAAATGTTACTGAATCTAACTATTTTCATGTTCATTTTCTGGTGCCAGTCTGTAAATTTAAAACCAAATTAATCCAATTGCACCATCTTGAACATTCAATTCCGTCCACACCAGTGCACAATTGCAGTTAGTTGTACCATCTAGCTTTGCAGTACAGCAACCTGCTAAGGCTCCAAGAAAAGCGCCTTCCAAACCTGTGATTTCAGACACCTAGAAGGATGAGGATAGGAGATGCATTGGAACATCATCCTGATTTGGAAATATATTGTCATTCCTTCACAGTCACATGGTTAGAATCCCGGAATTTCCTTCCTCACAGGACTGTGGAAGTATCCACACCATATGGATTATAGTGATTCAAGAAAATAACATCCTTTTCTGAAGGGGATTTAGGAATGAGCAATAAATTGCTGGCACTACCAGCAATGCTTGCATCCCAAGAATTAAATTTAAAAATGTTTTTGAAAAACCTTTTATACCTCAATTTGTATATTTACCTGCTAGTCTAACCTACTAGTCCACTGGGTCTAGTCCAATCCAACAACAGTTAATTTATCTTGTATTATTTCTTCAAGGAATTGTGCATGATTTAATGCAGGCTAGTCAAATGATATACTGAAGAGTTTGGCTAAGTATAACTTGCTTTTAGAAATTTATGCTGACTGCCTTGATTAACTTTTCTTTTTCCAAATGCATGTATGCACATTTAGTTGTTTAGCAGTAATTGAATTAAACATAGCTGGCCTTTATTTATACATTTAGGGGTTTTTCTGAATACAGCTGGGTCTTACAACTAGTAGACTGATGATCACACAATAAAAGTAAAAACTAGTTCACTCTATTTTCCATTTATATTATTTTAGAAGAATTTAAATCTGAACCACTTATTTTCTCATTAATCTATAAACAATTGGTTCCTGGTAATGTGTCTCCTTTAAGTAAGTTTTTTTTTGTACTGTTTCCCTTTGAGTAATGGTTAATAGTTCCAAAATACACTACCTCTGTGAAAACTGAAAAGCACTTATTTAGTGTCTCTTATTCATTGAAGTTTGCTTCTGTCACTTATTCAGAGACCATTCCTAATTATTTTTTTGCTTTGAGCCTTTTTTTCAGCAATGCAAAATTTAAATGTGTTTATGGCATACTTCTTCTCATGACAAATTTCCGTTTAAATTGATAATAAAAATAATTATAACTTGCCTTGAAAGGGATAAGATGGGTGACAGTGAGGTAGAGTTGGGTATCAACCTACATGTAGAACTTGTGTTTTTGAATGTTATCTGTGAGGGGTAGTTGAGAAATAGAGGGAAATTGAAGTGGTATTAGTGCAGGAGGGGAGGAAGAAGCCATACCTAGTGATTCTCTGTTTGAGTGCAGAGATAGGAATGGAATTGAAACCAAATGCTGGAAATACTCTGGTTAGACAGCATCTATGGAGAAAAAAGGCAATGATCTTTCATCAGAACTGGGAAAAGTTAGAGATGTAATGGGTTTTGAGCAAGGAGCAAGTAGGACACAGATGAAGGAAGTCCTGGGATAACAATGAATGACAAGAGTTATCCTTCCTGGGCCAAAAGGAATGGAGCAAAACAACAAACTGAAAGATATAAAAGAAAAGAAAATTAAAAAGAAACAAAATCGGAATGAAAGGAATACAACAATAGAGCAGAGGAGTTCACAGTCTAAAGTTGTTGAACTCAATAGTGAGTTTAGAGGTGCTGTTACTCAGGCTTATTTTGGGCTTCACTGGAAAATGCAGCAGGCCAAGGACTGAGATCTACAAGAGACCAGGATGGAGAATTAAAATGGCAGGTTACACTTGTGAACTAAACAGAAGAGTTCTGTAACGAGGTCATCCAATGTGCTTTTGAACTCCCCAGTATAGAAGAGACCATGTTGTGAGAATTGGATACAGTATACTAAATTGAAAGAAATACATTTAAAGCTACTTCACCTGGAAGATGTGTTGGGGTTAAAACTAAATAGAAAGGAAGCAAAAATACGTGGTGATACATCTCCTGCGTTTGCATGGGAAGATGATTAGTTTCTGGAGAAGATTGACGAAGGTTGCCTTGTTGGAGCAGAGCAGAAGGCGTACATTCACTTAACCTACTTACATCCATTTGCAAATACTATGTCGTCTTCACCAATTGCTTTCCAACCTATCTTTGTTTCATCCTTGTATCCAGTCATTAATAAAAATTGTAAATAGCTGAGGCCTCAACGTTCATCCTCGTGGCACACCACTCGTCATGCCCTGCCAGCCTAAAAATGACCTTTTGGCACATCTGCTTCCAATTAACCAAGCAATCCTCTCTCTATGCTGATATGTTGCCACTTTCATCTGTTAGTTTTACTTTGTTGTAATTTTTGTGGCATTTTGTCAAATGCTTTCTGAAAATCTCAGTACAGTACAGTGCTTGTTGCTTCCTTCAAGAACGCCAATAATTTGGTCAAACATTATTTCTCTTGCACAAAATCATTTTGTCTTTACCTGATTTCTACTGAGATTTTCTAAGTGCCTTGCTATAACCTTAATAAATTCACACATTTTCCTTATGTTACGCTAATCGGTCTGTAGTTTCTTCTCTTGAACTTTCCAGAACTTAGGGAATTTTGGAAAATTAAAACCAATGCATCTAATATGTCAGCAGTTACCTTTTTTAATACCCTAGGACAAAGTGCATCAGTTGGTTGCTTTTGACCGGCAGTCTTGATGGGCCAAAGAGATTTACAACATAGAGGAAGACTTTTATGATCTGTGGCTTTGTCACATTTTTAGTTCTAATGCTTCCCTCAGTACCCTTTCTCTGGTTGTTGAAAATTTAATTGAAATAATTTATTTTCCACATCAGTGTTCCTAAAATATCTTTTTCTACCAGCTGAGGATCCACCCCGCCCCACCTTAGTTGACATTGTCTGTTTCCCTGCCTGCATTTCTGCTCCTGTCTCTTTTCTCCCCCAGTAGTCTTCACCTGCCACCAAGCCACCCCCGATTTCCACTAGCTCCATCATAATGCCAGTACCAAACACATCTCCTAGTCCCTATCCTGCCTGAAGGGATATCTGTGACACCCTGAGCAACTCCCCAATCTCTGCCAACACTCTTTCTGTTGTGGTGCCTGCCCTTTTAACCTTCTCTCCCTTTTATGGTCCAGACTGAAAGAAATGTATTTTTCTACATTCATCCCATTGAGCATGGGAAAGCTTTAGAAAAGGGGCTGGTGTAGAGAATGAACAAAAATAACCAAGGAATATGTGAAACGTGGGCTTGATTTGGATCATTTCACCGGTTCAGTGATTATTCCTGTGGCTTTCCCTAAGCTGGACATTTCTGTAAGAGGCGGTGTCCCACCGTCTTGAAGGAGACTTTTTCAGGCTATATAATGCAGCACAAACTTGTTGTTTAGGAAAAACAAGAGAGCAGTAAACCTCGAGTGGACTTTGTATCCAGAGGAGCAATTACCGCTAATAGCTTTCTTGATCAGCTCGTTAATGGCCTGTTTCCGTCTGGAGACAGCAGTGGAGCAGGTAATGATTTGATAGCGGGAAATCTTGATTGGATTAAAAGCCCATTTGCTCCTGCTTGGCAAGGGATAATGTGCCTGTTGCTGGAGCAGTTTAAGGCCGGATTGATGGAGTAGCCTCACCCTGTGATCACTTGTTTTTCAGGGTTTGTTCTGCGTGTGGTTCTTTACAAACTCGTCATCGATAAGGAAGGATTCACTTCACTTGTTCCATGAACAGAAAAAGTCAGTGGTTTTAAGTTAATGTATTTGAATAAACAAGTACTTTCTTATTAACTGAAACATAACCGGAAACAGTCAGGGCTGTGAACTCGGCTACCCAGTGTAAACCGATTCCCAGAAAAGGGGGCAATATCATTTATAATTCGAGATAACTGTGCAATATGCAATCCATTTCCTGCCAGAAGTAGCTTGTCTGGTGCCTGTTATATTCTGCGCAGGTTTGACCTTGCAGCTAGTAGACAGGAGTAAGTACTGTTTCTGGGATTGCGGGACTTTTAGATTCTTAACGCACCTTTCAGAGGGATTGTTGAATTTAATGATTGGGAAGGGCTGTGCACTTTCACACGTTTTTGATCATTACGAATCTTGGGTTTCTTCACACAAATCTTCGTGTGATGTTTACGTTAGAGGGGCTTGTTGCTAAATGAACGCTCCCAGTTCTGTGACATTCTGGAGTCGTTTAAACACAATATGAATTCTCTCTCTTTCCCTACGTGAGGGGGCTGTTTTCTCTCCCCTCACTATTTGTGAAGAACGGGAGCTTGTTCCACGCAATCAGTTCAGGCGGCTCCCTAGCCACACCTATTCCAGAGCTTTGTACAAACAACGCAGAGTGAGTAAGGTCAGCTGCTGTACATTGCTGGACGCGTTCTCCAGCTTTCCTGCCGGAGCCACATCTTTCTAAGTGCAGAGTTGGAGGTTTACCTGTTGGGAGAAACATTTCCTCAAAGTAGGCGCTGAAAGAGGTAGGCTTTTCTTCCAACTACACCCAGGGATTATCTGTCCTGATGTTAGAAACTCGGTGAAAGGGGCAGCTGGATACAATGAGCAGATTTCTCTCTTTAGTTGGGTGGAACTGAAATGTTTTTAACCTGGCTGTGTTTACAATACAGTCCAGCACTTTACAAAAGTTTCCTCAGCTCGAAGCGAGGACACTGTGGAATTCTGTCAAATAGTCTGAATTGACCTTTTGTAAATGAAATTTTTTAAAAAGCGAAATAACTGCGGGATACTGTAAATCCAAACAAAAACAAATTGCTGGGGAGGGGGTGGAACTCAGGTCTGGCAACATCTGTGGAGAGAAATCAGAGTCCCCGTTTCGGGTCCTGTGACCCTTGCTCAGAACGGGTACATTGTCGCAATCACCCTTGTGTCTGGTACATTCTCAAGATAAACTTCTAAATATCAGCGAGTATATGAAGCACTCAATCACAACCTTTATTATATTTAATGTCAGGGTTGTGTGGGGGAATGGTGTTCAGTTTAACATCCTGACAACCTTCCTGCTGAAACGGATTCAGTTCCGGAACAGCCTGTCAACCGAGGGGCGCCTAAACTTGTCGAAATCCTCATCCTACGCATTGTTGGCAAGTGATCTGTCAACTTGCTCACAGAGGAAGGGAAACCATTTCTTGCTCAAAGCTATTTGCTAGTTTTAGTGCAGTTTTATTTCGTGAAACTTTTCAAGCAATAGCACTGATTACACGATTGACAGGACACAAAGTGAAACGTATCTTGTTTAATGGTTTTCATTTTCATTTTCATTTTTATTTTCTGTATTTGCCTCGCTCGTGTTCATGTCGAGGACACAATGATCAGTTGGTATGGCTGCTGCTGGTCTGGTTCATCCAGCAAAAGGACCCCTGTCTCTCCACACTTCCTGCTGTTTGAGCCAGTTCTCGGCCCTATTTTGGACAGAGTTCAGGACTCGGCTCTGTTTGAAGACCAATTACTGGAATGTGAAGGAAGCTTTTGCAACATTAAGCCTTTGTTACAGTGACAGTTGATGTGTCCCGGTGAAAAACATGAAGCTAGTTCAGTGCATCACCTTCTCGGATATTGCAAACCGGTTTGAATGTAACGGGTGAGACCTTCTCTGGGTCTCACATGTTTATTACAGTTTACAAGGTGGTCACTGCTGCGTGACACTCTGCAGTGGTGGAACCTGACTTTACATATTGTCCCAGTTATGACTAAAGGTACTTCTTATCTGTTTGTTCTTTGCTTCCGTGCAGACAGGCCCTCCCGATTAAAACTCTGTTAACCGCGCCTCGTTTTCAACAATTAACCCCGACTTCCCTCAAGCTCCAAGCTCTGCCATGGCCGGGAGGGTAGCCGCGGTGGAGCCGTTCGCTGTCCATTATCTGCGAGTGCTGAAAGAACTCCTGGCCTTCGTTCTCTTCAGTTACACGGTCTTATTGGGAGCTTTGGTTATAGCTGGCTGGACAACTTACTTCCTGATAGTGAAGTGACCTGCTTCTGATCTCTACCCCAGAGCAATGCTTCGAATAAGATATATGCAACAGTTTTAAACAATGAGAAACTCCGCTTAAATGCTCAAAAAATAGACGATTTTTGCACTACCCCGTAAATCATATGAGAAGGTAATATAATCAGGTAGAAGTAATATCCTTATGTAATCCTGCTGTTTGTTATATTGAAATTGATCTTCATTATGTTGTATGTAGACGCGATATTTGCAGGAACTATACCAAACTAAATAAAAAGGAGAAAATCAAACAGACAGGCGGCAATTTAATGTGTCTTTGGGACAAAGAATGATGTCTGGTTGTACCTATTCACATATTTTATAACATAAACCTCTGGTTTAAGTGTTCGAACCGGCACACTATTTACTCTGGTGTGTGAGCTTTGTTAATGACAGAACTAGCCAAAAGAAGTAAAAACGGTCGAGTGAAATGTATAAAACGAGGTCAAACGCAAGGAGTTTGTGTAAAGAAAAGTATAAAATGGCAAATCCAGAAAAAGATTAATGCAAAATTAAGTCAGCAGGAAGCTGACAATTTTGAATAAATTCAAGTTTACGTTAAAAACGTCTCGATGCAATGTCTTCATTGTATTCATATTTGTATTACGCTCTCGTTAAACTCTACAAATCATTCACCCCCCCGCCCCCATCGCTGCCCCATCGCTGATTCACACTGCCTATATTCTGGGATGATTTGTTTAAATATTACACCTTTTTGAGGATCGAGTTTATCTATTTTCAAACCAGACTTCCTGACCCGCTTCCTGAATAACAACCTACCGAATAGAGTGGGCTCCAATTCAGTTTAACGAAAATTAAGGGAGTTGTGATATCCTGAGTTAAGTATGGAATAGAAAAATAAGCAACGGCCCTTTTTACTCTTGAAAGATGATGTCTGTAATACCCTATGCACGGCGCTTTCTGGTTTTGTGATATGATCCCCGTTTTCCTGTGGAGATTTTAATAATCTTTCTCTGCCCACTTACTGTGCAGATACTCTGCAGTGATTAGTAGATCTTATTGAACAGAACGCTGGTAAGTTCCCTAACTACACGTTCCACAAAGTGGGACAGGAAATTCTTTGGAAAGTTGTATACTTCTCCAGCTTCGCAGGGAGAGCCGCTGCGTTGAGACTGAAGGCAATGAGACTGGTCTAGGCCACAGCAGGTGTCACTGAGCTATCCCCTGTAGTCATTTGTGTGTGCCTCATGTTCGCACTGTTTGCGGGTGTTCTGTTGTTAACTAAAGTGTGAGCTGGGATGTTTACACAGCACTAGTATCAGCATCGACTAGATCACATCTAAAAGTTGCAAGCTGTCGCCGAATGCTCTGGCCTCGGGTGTTCGCATGTATTCCTACTCTTTTGTTGTATTTTATTTCTTCCTCTCCAGGCGCATGTCTTAAAAACAGCTTCTCTACGCTGTGGACTGGAGTTAGGTGGTGAGTCTAGAGGAGGCTGGTTGCTTGCCAGGGGTCCAGTCAGACTTTTGGAGCAAAATTTCTCCTGATTCAACTTTTCGGGATGGCGATTTTTCCAGCGCTTCCGTTAGACCTACATGCTGATTCCTACCTCTCTGCAATGGGCTTTCTATAAGAAGGAATCAAAACATTTCCCCACGGAGGGACAGCAGGGTAAAAGTGACCTAGCTATTTATTCATTTTTCAGAGCGTAAAGAATGAATAGTCCAGACCACAACAGCTATGTTATTAATGCGACCTATCAAACCAATCTACAAAGGCCAGTTTCATTTGCACAAATTTCATACTTGATCGTTTAATTTGTTTGACATTTTTGAGATTTGGAAGAGGCTGTTCTTAGTGTAGGAGACTAGATCAATCTTAAGGCAGAACACGAAAACGAATACAATTGATCGTGTGCAGTTTAGCTTTGGTTCAATGACATGCTGTGGTTTACAGCCAATGGAACCACACGCTTGGACAAAGCTAATGCTCCGTGGTAGCCAGGCTCCGTGCAATATTCAAGTGAAATGAATGGTTTGTAACTTTGTCAGCGAGACTCGGCGAATGCACCTTTCCTACTTGCAAGGAGAGGAAGGATGTTCTCTCAGTTGCTGGTTAGCTATTAAACTATTTAAAATGAGTTGTTAATGATCTGAGAGGCTTTTTCGATTCTAAAGTGATACAAATTTAAGTTATCGCTTGATGTTAGGGGTGATGCCCACTCGTAGGTTGGCTGGAATGTGAAATTAGGTGATGCCTAAAGAGCTTTATTCAGGGAGAGTGGCAATTTGGATCCATATCTGATGCATTTATATTTATTAACAAAAGCAACTGCTGAAAAGCGCTTGCGTTTGAGTAACTTCAAACTGCTTTGCTTCTATTCTAGGATAATCTGGAAATGTATTTGTGTGTGTCATTTAAGGCAATTTGGTGGCAGCATGAGCGGGAATATTTAGGACAGTGAACATGGTCAATTTTTTTTCTCAGTAGACTGATACTTCCGGTTTTTGTAGGCGAGTGCCACGTAGCCTAGTGCCCACTTAATTGATGCTGCAGAACAAGATTGGCGTTGATTTGAAATCATGCCTTGCTCTTTGCTGTTCTCTTCTCTACTTTGCTGCCTGGGTTTGCAACTAACCAGATGAACTACTGACAAAACGTTTCCAATTTTGTACTTTTTACATGTTCCTATTTGATTTTTGGCCCGTTGGACCTCCTTCCCACCCTCCAAATAATTAAATTACCTTATACTGAATTGCATCAATTGATTCTTGTATAGCTGCTGCAGTAATCAGTTTGGAAATTCAGTTGAAGATGCATTATCTGCGATGTTATCTGAAACAATTTCTGCTATACTCCAGTGGATAATAAAAGAGAACTTGAATTTGCTGAAAAGAGAGACATGCTGCTAAGGCTTTTCTTCTTGCAATCATTAGAATAAATGCAAGAGTGCCAAATTGCAACTGATCACAACTATTTGTATTGGGAGAAAAGGGTGCTTATTCACTGAGACATTGCCATGTAGAAAGCAAGGGGGAACTATAGGCTCCTTAATCTACAGGAAAGTTTTAAAAAAAGGATACAAGACTTGAAAATATCCATTATGCTTGGAATCCACGTTTACGAATGAAAGTTGCTTTTGCAATACATTGTAGGAATGTGTGAGATTTATTGCACTTTGGTAGAAAGAATAGAGGCGTGGACCATTTTATAAATGGGAAACGGTTTGGAAATCTGAAGCACAAAGGGACTTAGAGAATCCTAAACTGGGACTCCTTGTAGTTAACATACAGGTTCAGTTAACGGTTAGGAAGGCAAAAGCAATGTTTTGATGCAATTTGTTTTGAGAGGGCTAGAATAAAAGAGCAGGGATGAACAGTTGAGCCTGCATAAGGCTTTGGTCAGATCACACTTAGAAGATTGTGAGCAGTTTTCGGTTCCACGTCTAAGGAAGGACGTGCTGGCCATGGAGAGGGTCCAGAGGAAGTTTTTTTAAATGGTCCTGGGGATGAAGGGCTTATCATATGAGGAGTGGTTGAGGACTCTGGAGTTTAGAAGGTTGAGGGGTGATCTGATTGAAACTTACAGAATACTGAGAGATCTGGATAAGGTGGATCTGGAGAAGATGTTTCCACAAGTAGGAGAGACTAGGACCTGAGGGCACAGCTTCAGAGTGCAGGGATGATCCTTTAGAACTGAGAGGAGGTGGAATTTCTTCAGCCACAGGGTGGTGAATCTGTGGAACTCATAGTCTCCCCAGCCCTCTGTAACAAAGTCATTGAATGTATTTAAGACAGAGTTAGATAGTTTATTGATTAGTTAGGAGATCAAAAGTTAAATGGAGAAAGCAGGAGAATGAGGTTGAGAAACATATCAACAATGACCAAATGGTCGTTGAATGGCCTAATTTTGTTTCTATCTATTATGGTCTTATTACTGAGTGATGTTATGAGATCAACTGATGATTTTAAATTTGGTGCATTTGAACAATTGGTTAAATAAGCTATTTCATGTCGTTACTGTACATGGCCATGTATCTGATATTTTCTACCAACAGGATGCTGCTGTCAATCCAAGAAGACATCCAGCCTAGCCTGCATTTCAGCAATATCATGTATGGCAAGTTATGTAGGCCATATACCCCTGTGATTGGGTAACTGATTCAAACAGCATGTACCTCTGATTGTTTATACAGACAGAGCACAGACTACATATTCAGACCTTGCATCTTATTTTAAATTGCCTAGGATCCTGGAGAATCCATTACTGTTTAAGTTTTCTCCACTGCAATGCATCAGCTGATTTCAGTTGACACCAACCTATCAACACCCTTTTTGCCTGTTGCATAAATTGGTGTGAATGTTTAAAATTTGGCATTGTTGCATTTGTTTTGATGAGTGCAAGCCAAAACATTTTGGTAACATTCTTTTCTTTTCAGCAAGACTACAACAATCAGCTTTTGACAGGATTCTTGAGCCAAACAATAATAATGGAGTCATCAACATCTATTATGCATAAGTGAGGTTTTTAGTAATACATTTACAGTAAATAGCAACTCAGCATAAAAACTGACTGTACCTCTTAAATGCTGACAAATGATTACCAATTTGACCTCTGAATGTCAAAACAAAGTATTATCTGTTTGTCTTTGTTCTTAATAATTTAGATTGCTCTGCTCTGTGTAAAGTGTTTTTAGCTGTAAAGTAATGAACTGAAGTGGAAACTTCATCAATAAATATTATCAAAAAGCAATGTGCATTTATGTTGGGGCCTTAATGTAGAAAAATTATCAACACTTTACACAGGGGAAATTCCTTCTCCCTATAAACAAACACAAAGCAATCATTCATACCTTGCCACCATCTTTTGAAATTTGGGTTTCCCAACTGATAATGGTGGAGTTTCTACCAGCAGCATGAACAAAAATATCTTTGAATAGAAAATGTGAGTGTTTCACTTGTGTGTTGTTAATGAATAATGGAAGAATATCGATCGGAGATTTGAAAATATACATAAAGTAAACATGGAGTATGGGACGCTGCATGGAAGAAGATAGGAGAAAAATTCCAATTCTCTCACTAGCTGCCAACTCTAATTCTAGCTGCCTATTCACTGGTTTGCAGCTCTAACAACTGCATCTTTTGTTGAAATACACAGTGATATATGAAATGGAATGTTACATCTCTGTTTTCATTGCATTGGTCTTCAATAGATTGTGTCAAACCTCAACCATCTCCCTGGCACATTAGCCACTTGTACACCCTCAAATCTGAGTGAAGCATGTTGACTACCTGCTTAGCAAATGTAATTAATCCCCTCAAATAGTATTGCTTTAGTACTGCTGCAGTGAAATTCATCTCCTATTCAAGGATCATTCTGGGACATGTACATGGGTGGAATCCTGTTTTACTGAGACTAAATGTGGAAGCAGGTGTAAAAGCAGAAGGGACTTTGAGATGTCTGGGGTTTTTGTCTGCTCATTACCTCTTCATGCATGGGTGAAACACCAAGTTTTATGGGCAGGAAGTTCTGAAGCCCACAATGCTTTCAGGCTATCACATGTAAAAAGTACCTGGACACCACTTCACTATGTTGCCAATAATA